GCTCACCATGTTTTACAGGATCTGCTTTGCTCCTACAGGCTTTCCTGTGGGCTTCATCCAGCTGCTGCTGCCTTTTTAATTTTTTTTTTTTATTTCAGTGTTGAAGGAAGCAGCTTCATGGAACTACCATAAACTGCCTCTTAGCAATGACCTATTAGTGCAGCCAACAATAACAGCAGTGTCTAGACCATCTGAACACAGCTAAATTATTCCTTTGTCCCTTCTTCATTTGCTTTCTCTCCTGACTCTTGAATTGTTTTGGGTGGTCCGTGTTGACCTTCAGGCTTTCTATTCCTCCCTTTTGCAAATTTTTTTTCATCTCTCTGAGCAGTGAACTTGCTGTACTAAGACTGAAAGTCCAGGTTCCTCTCTCCCCCACGCAGGCTGGAACCGAGGCCACGTAGCAGCACTGGAAACGTGTCTCTGAAGGGCAGAGAGATGTGTCATCTGCTGCCTCTTTGCTGTCACTCCCTGGCTGATTTTGCCAAGTAGCCAAATGCCCCAGATTCACAGAATTCCCAGAATGTCTGGGTTGGAAGAGACCTTCAAGACCATCGAGTCCAACCCAGCCCCAACAGCTCAACTCAACCCTGGCACCCAGTGCCACATCCAGGCTTTGTTAAACACACCCAGGGATGGGGACTGCACCACCTCCCTGGGCAGAGCATTCCAGAACTTTATCATTCTTTATATAAAACTTTTTCCTGCTATCCAACCAATATTTCCTTTGGTGCAGCTGGAGGCTGTGTGCTCTGGTTGTGTCAGTACCAGATTCACACTGGCAGTGCCTGGGACTTGCAAGTCTTAACATCTTGCAGAACTCGAAACCTGATGAGAGAAGGAGGCATTCTGGTTTTGATAAAAGATCCTGCCAAAATGGATGAGTGTATTTTAATAAAAATACGAACCCTGTCTACTGGAGCTTCACTGGTCACTGCTCCTTGGGAGTGCTCTTGGCTTTCTGCTCCTGTGTGTTCCTCTCTTCTGTGTGGCTGTGGATATTTCCCCCCACCCCCAAACCCCTGGGAAATTAATATCTTTTGAAACATCTATTATTTTTGGTTGGAAGTGTTCCTTGGTTGGATGGGCTGGCAGTGTGATCAAACAAGCTTTGTCACAGGAAGCTGATTTAAAAAGCAGAAAATTAAGTGTGTTGGTGGAAAGTAGAGAAGAAAGGAGTTTCCTATTAAGGGAAATAGCTGAAACCTGAGGATGGAAGAAGAGACATTGGGCACAGAGGGACAGTACTAAACACAATTTATTTTTATGTTTCATCTTTGCTGTCTCTATAATCAGCTTTTCTCTGTCCTGATCTTCCATGGTAGAAATAATCCTGTTTTCATGTTGTGTTGGAGATCAAGTGGGATTTGTTGTACAATTCATCCTGTCAACCCACAGTACCTTAAGTGAATTTGTGCAAAACGATGCCAGAGTGGAGCTGGGCCAGGAGCTCGTTCAGGAGCAGGAACCTGCTCACGTTGCACAAAGATTTCCAGGAGTCTCCCAAGTCCATAGAGCTCCAAGGATACTTCATCAGTGTTGTGCAACTCACAGATGTTTTGTTCTGGAGCCATGGCAGAGCCTGGGGAGGTGTTTGCTGTGCAGCCTCAATGCTGCCTTCTCACAAGGCTGAAGAATATTTGGGTCCTGCCAGGGCTGGATCAGGAGAACAGGATTTCTCCTGTCCCTTGGGCACGGGATTCCTGACAATTGGCATTTTGTCCCTGGGAGAGCCATCCATCCTTGGCCCTCTCCTGACTCAAACCCAGCCAAACAGAGAAGGAGCAGGCTGTGACACCCCTTTTGCTGGAAAGGCTTGGGAGTGGCATTTGGATTTAATTATCCTGTTCGCTTCAGCGCTTGTTTGAATTTTTGACTGCACTGGCTGAGCTGGCTGCGTCTTTCCACGGAACAAAGTCCTCCACCCTTCTTGGGAGTCAGCTGGGAGACCCCAGGAGCAGTAATTAGGATGGGCAAGAGGTTCAGTCTGGAAAGGATCAGTGCCTGTGCAGAGCTGTCCCGGAGAGGACTGGGAAGTGTCGGTTTTGCAAGAGATGATGCAAATTCTGCTGCTGCTCAGAAGTTGCCTCAGAGCCTGGTGTGGGGGGTTTTGTTTTGAACAGTTGAGGCTTTGGTCATTGCCTCCCAGAAATCACAGCTCTCTTGGAGTAAAAACACACTGTTAAAAGCAGCTGGAAAATACTTAAGCACATAGAAATATATTAGTTGAAGGAAATATTGTATTTCTGATTGTGCTTAAGGGTTTTTTCACCCTCCAGCAGCAGAAAACAACCTTTCCTGCTTGGATAGGAAGAAGTTTTCTTATCTTGTTTTGCAGCAGTGATGTCATGGATGTGGATTTTAGTTTTTTGACAATTAACACTCATTTTGTAATTAAAAATCCTCAGATGCTTTTCAGAGTGCTTTTTTGCATCAGTTTTTTAGTAGATAAAGGAAGGAAAATGCTGATTTGGCAGTCAAATACAAGAAATAGCTTCTCTTTCCTTTTTTTTTTCTTGAGTACCTGATTCAGGACAGCTGGAGCTCAGTTTTACACCACTTATTCTAAGGCCTATTCAGTTGATGTTCGGGTATTTCTGGACACCAGGTGAATTTAAGCAGTTACTGAAAGTGAGTGGATTCTGCTGTGTTTGGAGAGATGCAAAAAAGTCACTTCTGGCAGAGATTTTTAACCTGACTTCCTAAGCAATGTGACTTATCATGAGCTGGGTTTGCAGCACCAGGAATTTTTGAACCTGTTTGGTGGACTCGGAAGTCTGCTACAAAAAAAGTTTTGGCAAGATTGATATGTAGATAGAGGAGGAAGAGAATGTGATATGAACCAAGGCACTGCTGGGTTAACCAGGGATTCCTCTCCTGGAAGATGGTGCCAGGGAGGTTTGGAGGTGGGAGAGGGGTGGGGAATTGGGTGGTTTGACTCTGTCTCTGCCTGCTGGCTCTGTTGGCCCAGGACATTACAGACTGTGTTTTGTGTCAGGCAGTGCAGGAAACTTTTGTTGTCACTCGCTGGAAAAAAAGAAAAAAAAAAAGAGTGAGGGGCACTGTAGAGATTAAAGCTTTGGTGGAAAATTCCTAGAGGGTGGCGTAAGGGGTTTTTGTTTTTGTGGGTTTGTTTTAGCTCATCCCTCCCCCTGTTCCCTTCCCCTTCCACCAAAAAAAAAAAAAGGCCTTCTTTTTTTGTGTTGGGTATTTTCCTACTACAAAATCTGTGTGGAAAACTATGCTTGTCCCAGAGGCCCTTTAAAAAAAAAAAAACAAAAAAAAACAAAACAAACCAACAACAACAACAAACCCAAACTTTGGGGACATTCTTGATGTGTTTATTTTTTATTGTTGGTTTGTTGGTTTTTTTGTTTTTGTTTTTTTTTTTTTGTTTGTTTCCCCTGAACTTGAACTGAAAGTTATCTTTTTTTCAGTTTTTTTCCTGTAGCACTTCAGGTTGTTCTCTCTGCCACCCCTCTGGAAAAACATACCTGTGCTTTTATAAATAGGGAAATGTAGGAGGCAAAAGGGATTACATTTTCATGTACTTAGGTATGAATTTTATTATTTTATCAGTTATATTTTTAATACTGATGTACAGATATATGTTTATATATTAAATGTGTATAGACACATTGCCTACAGAAAAATGTAGGCTTTTTCCTAAGAGTTTGATGTAGGCATTGAAGCTCATTTCTGAGCTCTGAAATTCCCCCAGTTTTTCCCCTTATTTCTTTAATATACTCTGGGAGCAGAGCATGCACAAGAAATGTTTTTCTCACATATCTGGGGTTTTTTGTAGCTTCATTGCTCATAGAACCCAGCAGGAGGAGCAGAACAAGAGGAGATGGTGTTCTATCTGAGCACGAGGATCCAGGACATGCACCTCCCTGGGGAAAGATCCTCAGTATTTGGGTCCATTCCTGTCTGATTTCATATGGTTTTGGTCATTTTTCACATATTTGTGGACTTTGAGTTAAATCAGCAGGCTGGCCTGGTGTAGGGGTGGTTCTGTCACTGGAGACACTCATTTTTAGATGAGATTTGTAGCTGTATTTGTATTTTTTGCGGTAAGAGCTGCATTTGTATTTTTTTGCAGTAAGAGCTACATGTGCCTAACATTTGCCCTGCCTGTGTCACGAGCATGGAGTGTGCAGTGGATTTTCACACACTCCTGACAGTGTGCCCTGCCCTAGGCCTTGACAGGGTTCTTGCTTCTTGTGATTGGTGTTTTGCCTTTCACACTTCATAGCTGCTTCAAGAGCCCATAACCACAGATGCTGAAGTGTTGAAAAAGAGGAGGCTGGTTTCAGAGCCAGTGGTCCCTCAAAGTTCTCCTGCTACTGCAGAAATCAGAACTCCCACGAGGGCTCTCTGTGTCTTCTCTCCAGCACTGCTGAGCTTCTCTCTTTTCTCATGGATTCCTTGTCCTCTCCCCTGGTTTCTCACTGCTTCTGGTTTTGAAGGTCAGTCATGGTTCTTGGGTACCTTTAATGAAGAGGGAGGAAAGACAAGGACACCTTTTTTCCCTAGCCCAGGTTACTCCAAGCCCCATCCAACCTGGCCTTGTACATGTCCAGGGATGGGGCAGCCACAGCTTCTCTGGGCAGCTGTGCCAAGGCCTCACCACCCTCACAGAGGAAAACTTCTTTCTAATATCTAATCTAAACCTGCCCTTTTTAATTTTAATGGCATTTTCTGGCATCCTGTCCTTGTCAAGAGTCCTCCTGCAGCTTTCTTGCAGGCTCTTTCAGGTGGGGACAACGAGATCTCATTATCTGTCTCACCTGTAATGAAGGAACCTGTGTTTTCAGGACAGACTGGGCTGGGAGAGACTGTGGTGTAGTCTTGGAATGCCTCTCTTAACAGGAGGCTAGACATTGTGTCTTCTGATCCATTTGTGTTGAAAGTTTATATTTGCAGCACTGTATTTTCACTCTGCACATCCGAGGGCAGGGTTGCTTTCCACACTTCAGTTGTCTCTTCTTTTCTTGCAGATGAAGAAGAAGCTCTGAACTCTATTATGAAGGATTTGGCAGCGTTGGGCAAGTGTGGGGGGCTGCTGGACAACAACAGGAATAAAAACAGTGTCCACTCCAACAAACAGGTATGGCATTGCTTCCTCAGGCCACCCCAAACTCCAGCAGGCCACAGAGGTGGGCATGGTGCTTGCCATGCTGGCTGAGCAGAGCTTAAATCTTAGAACTGAAGTTAACAACTGCTCAGCACATCAGAAATATCATCATTTCACCAAGCTGGGAGGTTTATGACCTCTTTTTGAAGAGCTGAAAGGAAGTTACAGGCATCACTATATCACAGAGGAGCAGGGAAGGGTAATGCCCCAAATTATTCACAAATATAACAACAGGGCCTGAAACTGGGTTTAAATCTTGAGTCTCACCTCAAGGCACTTCTAACTGTTGTTTTGGTCTGAAAGTAGCAGAACTTGTTTCAGGCTGTGCAGCTTTAGGACTTGGACAAGTCAATTGTTTTCTATTGACAGCGTTAATGAAATACAATATTTATTATGTGCACATTTTGCTTCAGATATTTGAATGACAGACTGCCAATTCTGAGCTGTAGACACCCAGGCTCTTTGGGGAGGAATCATGTCATTCTTATATAAAGTGTTTAATTATGAATTACTGCTGTTTATCTTTATGTTCTTAAACCCAAATGTTTTGGCCCTGTTGCACATTCAGAGTTGTTTTGGTGAACAAAAAACATTGTCCCTTGAGCAATGTCAGAAATTATTTGCTGACATTGATACAATAGCTGAAGTGGATTAATAGCATGTTTGTCTATGGAGCAAATAATATGGGAACATGAAAGTTGTGAAGAAAGAAGTCAGTTGTCAAAATAGCAAGGGAAAAAGGGAGAAAAAGATTGGGACAACTGGGAAGTTGCTGGAGAAGCAAGGCAGCAAATCCACGTGGAATTCCACCTCTAGTGCTGTGCTTTAGAATGAGCTTGCAGTCAACCCTGCAACTGCTGGATGCCTAGCAAGGGAGAAAACAAATTGTCATTTACTGTCGTCATGCATTTTTTTAATGTCACTTGTGCTACAAACAAAGAAGTCTGGGTGCAGAGAGGAAAAATCCCTTCCCAAATCCCTGTGGACTTCCCAGCCACATGCAGACGAAAACACGTGCGCGCGTCTGGTTTCAAAGCGCGGCCCGGCGGTAGCAGCTGGCCAAGTTGAATCACTGGGTTTGCGTTCAGCTCATGCTGAAAAAAATCCAAGATGTTTACAGAACTGACCAGAGAAACTCAGGGCTGGCTCCCTGCAGCTGCAGGAGAAGCAGAAAACCCAGAGCAGCTTTGGGTGGCTGCAGGGGCAGCATCTTGTGCGCAGTGATGGGTGGGGACCGTGTGGAGCCAGCTCCAGTTGCTTTCAGGGTAGCAAAGCTTTCCAGGCTCCTCTTAAAACATTTGTTTTGCACGATGGGGGAAAATCCCTGCTGTTGTTTTTGAGGCCTGGGCTGTTAATGTAGCACATACACAGTTAACCACATAATTAGTTGAAAATAAGGTAAATTGTAGTTTTCATTGATTGAATTCTTATCTGCATAAAGTTGGCCTCTAGGAATCAAATTCACACCCACAGCCCATCCATTCTGCATCTTCATTTTTAAGTCATCCATGGAGGTATCAGCTTTAGAATAGTTGGCTGCCAGTTGTGTTTAATTTTATTATAGGATTGTATTATATAGGAATCAAAATTTCCTTCTTATTAGAGCACTGATGCTTGGAAAAAACACTTCCTCTTTCATGATTTTTCTTTTTATCCGCAAGTGGAGCTGCATGCTCAGGGTTGCTCAGAGCTCCCTGATGGAGGAGATGTGGATGGTGAGGATCCTGCTCTCCTCACACATCCGGAGCTGAGGGGTCAGACCAGCAGGTCCCAGGAGATGAAGGGCGTTGGAGGATGTTGAATTGTTGCCTCACTAAATTGGACAGGCTGGAACACGTCTGGCTCGCAGCACGGCGGGAGGTGGGGAGCGGCCAGAGGAGGTGGAATTAGTGGGAACTTGGTTCGTGTTTGTAGCTCACTTTAATCAGCTTGTTTGGGTCACTTTTAGGTTTCTTTTTTCCCCTTGTTTTTTAGGACAGAAATTGATGTGGGGTAGAGATTGCTTTGGAAGTGCAGTTGTTATGCTGTGATTTGTTGTTCCTTTGGTATTTGGTTTTCCCTTTCTATTGTTTACCTAATCCTGTGATTATGTTGGTCAGTTGGGCTGAAGGATGCCCTGCACAGTTCCCTTCCTGTGGGGAGAATGAGGCACAGGGCCATTTTGGTGATAAAATGTCCTCTTGGTCATCTAATTTTTGGGGCCTCTCATGAGGCCCTGCAGCAACATGCTCACATTGAACTACTTGGGTTTGGGAGTTCAGTTAATAGATTAATAAAATAATATTTCTTTTTCTGTGGAAAAATGTTTTTTCTGAGGCATGGGAATCCTTTGGTCAGTGTTCCAAATTTCCACTGAAAGACAGAGTTCACAACAAGAATGTCTTGGCTAGCTAGCCAGTTCTCTGTGGCTTGCAGCAGTTTTTGGTACACAGAGAAGCACAACTGAAGTGTTATCTCATTCCTGTCTCCTGGAGGGCTTCTTCAGTGCTCTCTTGACACAAGTTGAAAATTGAATCCTGCCAGATTCTATTCCTCATAGGCCTGGGCCACACAAGAAAACAGCCTGTGGTTGTGTGTGCTCCAGAATATTTATTTCCCAAAATATCAATAGTTTTGCTTCAGTTCATCTTAAGAAATGAACATCCTTTGGCAAATTTCATAAAAGTCTTTCTTTCCTTAGTTTTCGTCCCTCACAAATGAGTTCAGAGTGAAGGCTGAGTTCCTGGATGTGCAATGCCTTGTGGCAGAACGGGCTGGAAATTAGAATAGGACAGCATGGCTGATTTTCCTCCCTTGAATTGCCCAGGCAGCTGGCAGCAGATGTGATGGCTGAGCTGGAATCCCCTGAGTCCTGGTCAGGTGTGGCAGCCACTACCTTGTCCTGCCTCTCTACCTTGTGGGAATTCCATGGACACCCTTTTCCTTCCTCACGTGAGGTAAAGCAGAGCTGTTCTTTGGGAACAGAGGGATCCTTCTCACATTATTCCTAGTGCAGCTTCTGCACTTGTATTCCTCTGTTTCTCCTTTAATCACTCTGTTATTCCTTGTGCATCCTCTGGCATGGCTGGAAGGAGCCCTTTCAGGCTCTCTCTTGGACTGAACAAGGGAGTTTGTTCATAGAAATGTCCCTGAAGAGGGGAAGAAGGAAACAGGAGAATGAAGATTTGTGTTGTGTTATTAAGGAAAAAGATGAGTGGAATAAGAAGGGAAACCCCGAATAATTAGGAAATCCTGAACAAAAGGATGGAGGGAGAAAAGAGCAATTAAATTAGCATTTATTTTGGATCTATTTATGTTCACATCCATTCATTTCTATAAATAGCACTTGGCAACTGGCAGTATGAAGCTGCTTGTCAGTGGGCCTCTGTCACAGCCAATGACAGCCAGCAGCTCCTCTGCCACCTTAATCACCATGGCAAATTCTCCCACGGCAATTAAATGTTGGTAGGAAATGTTTCTCCATGTACATCAAATGTCAGACTGTCCTAAAAGTTGTTCTTTTAGTAAATTACCTGTGGACTGTTCTCTTCGGCAAGCTGGGTGCAAGACAAGGCTTGCTCATAATTCCAGTAAAATACAGCTCATTTTGTAGGGCTCCCTGTGGGTCTTTGAGCTGCCTGAAAAGGTGTTTGGCTTTATCACCTGGAGAATATGGTGTGGATGGGGGAAGATGGGAGTCTCTATGAGGGGATCTGCAGGAATTTCCCCACCTGGGGAGCAGAAACAAGGGGGCAAATCACTGACTGGGAAAGCCTTGGCTGGAGATGGCAGAGGCAGGGGAGTCCTAAGGATTTAAGAGGCTTTCCCATGTCTGGATGTGGAGCTGACTTGGGTGCAAAGAGGGTGATACCAGTGAGAAATCCAGCTGAAAAAAAGCTCTTCCCTGCCAGGTGGGTGGTTTTAGATAAACGTTTTGAAGCCTGTGATTTCTAGTGCTGTCTGAAACAGAAATGTCTGCAACAGGCAGCAGTGAACCTTCTAGACATCATCTTTGTGCTGTCCTCTGAGCTGCGCAGGTGCTTTTAGAGGGGAAAAAAAGCTGCAAAGATCCGGAGGGACTGGGATATATTGTGCCTTCTGCCCCTGCAATGATAAAGGGGCAATGCCAGACAAACTGCTTTCTGTCTGGTTGCTGAATAACCCGGCGTGCGTGGGGGTTCTGTGCAGATAATTCCCAGTGACGTGCGTTAGTCATCTCCTCTTGCGGTCTGTGGCCGCGCTCCAGCTGTCTGGCGCGCAAGGAACGTCCCGCTGCTGAGGGCAGGGGCGAGCACAGGGCTGATGCAAACGACCTGCACCTTGGGGAAGTGTAGGAGTCCCCTCAGCCTGGCCCTGTGGCGCTGATTCCTCTCAGCCAGAGCCAGGAGCTGAGGAGGAATCCCACCGCTTTGCGGCTTTGTGCGAAGGGAGTGACTCGAGCGCGGCTCCGCGGGGTTTTCTCGTTGTTTCCTAATCCAGAGAGTAGAAAATGAGGGAAGTGAAATCAAACCCTCTGATTACCCTGTGGCGTGCAAAAGTGGGTGTATTTCACTGCCCCTGTGCTACCCAGGGGGGAAACTGAGGCAAAATAAGTGCCCAAAATCTTGTGGGTGGATATGAGCAAGGCTGGAATGAGCAGCACCAAGGGGAATAGGAGGCCCCTCGTGATGATTTTTCCTGCCTTTCTTGACCACAGAAGGGTTAATGCTGAAGTCAGAGGCTTGTCCCAGTTGGTTTGTGAGGCAGCTGTGGATTTGGGTGGAAGAAGTGCCCTAAAGACCCCATCCTTGTGATGTCTCAGCATGGGAAAAGTTGTCCTCTGGTTAGGTTTGACAGGAGCAGGGCTAAAGCAAGCCACAGAAGTGGGGTCTGGACAGAGCACTGTTTCTGATGGCAGTGGAGTTTAGGAGGAGGAAAAGACATGACAGGGGAAATCTTTGAATTTGTGCTAGTCTGGGATTTTCCCCAGTGGCAGCTTTAGTTTTTTCAGTGACACAGACAGGCTTGGAGGTGCAGGGCAGAATTTAATCTGACTGGTTGTTGGGCATGCAGGGGGACATGCTTAAGTGAGATTTGGCCATGGGATGGTATCAGTTTAGGTCCCCTAGACATTTTAAAATGGATTACATCAAGAAAAAGTATGGTGGTACCCAAAAGAAGGTAAGGAGAGTGAAAGCTTAAATCAACAATAATAGGGGAAGAGTGTTTATCAAGACAAAGGAAAAAGTATACTACAGAAGTAAGAGACTCCCTGCCTGCCTCTGCCATTAGACAGCCTTCTCCACGGGCTCAGCTTGGATCTGTACCCCAATTTGAGCAACCCCCTGGCTGTTCAGCAGAGAGGGTGCTCAGCATCTTCTGCTCCTCCAGAGCCGCTTCCATTTTAGGACTAGCTGCTTGTTTTCCTGCTCTCCGTGTGTGCTTTTATTACAAACAGCAGTCAGCTCTTCAGGGATCTCTGTATAAGATCATGATTCACCTCGTTTGGAAACACTTTTTCTGTTTTTTTTCCAACGTTTTCCTTAATCTAAACCAGCACACAGGGCTGTTGCTCCAGCTCTGAGGGCCAAGCTTGGCCAAGACTGCTGGGGTACATGGACCCCAGCCAAAAGGCAAAAGCAGTTGCCCCTTTTCTCCCCAGATTCCCATCTGAATTCTGTCTCTGAAGCTTGGAAGTTGTGGTCTTTTCTCTGTGAAATCTGAATTTTTGAGGAAAGAGCCAAAAATACCTCAAGGAAAGCCTGGAAGGATGGTGATGGGTTTGTGGCCGCAGCAGCGGCTTTGCTTTTTCCTTTCGGAGGAATATGGCAAGAAGGAGTAAAATACCGTTTGTTTGCAGGGCTGGAGGAAATGCCAGCACAAGTATTTTGGAGAAGAAATTATTGTAGAAACGAAGGGAATGACTGTGGTATTTCCTGTCAGGGCTGTCGCTGGTTTTGTTTGTGTCGCAGCGGGGTCTGCAGGCGCCAGCTGCGCCGTGGGCTCCTCCGCGCCCCGCGCGGAAACGCGCACGGAGAGGGAAAACTGCTCAGTGCTCACAGCCCAGGAGGCCAAACTCCTTAGTTCTGTGCTTCTCTCTACCATTCTGCTGCTTCAGAGAGTGAACCACAGAATGGTTTGAGCTGGGAAGGGTTTTAAAGGCCAGAGTGTCTGCCGTGAGCAGGGACATGTCGCTAGACGACGTTGCTCAGTCCAACCTGGCCTTGAGCACGTCCAGGGATGGAGCATCCACAGCTTTTCTGTGCAACCTGTTCCAGTGTCTCAGCAACCCAGTGGTAGAAAATATCTTCCTTACATCCAGCCTCAATCTAGCCTCTTGCTGTTGAAAACTGTTGCCCTCCTCCAGTCACTACAGGACCCAGTAAAAAGTCTCTCTCCATCTTATAAAGCCCCTTTTTTATATTGAAATGTTGCATGAAGGTCTCCATGGAGCCTTCTCCTCCCCAATCTAGGCTATCTCTTCATACCTTAGCCAAAACCTCTCCTGCCTTTGTGCCTCAGTTTCCCTTGCTTGCTCCATCTCCTGCCTGAGCTCTCACAGTGCTGATGAAAATATTGTTTAAATGCTCCGCCAGAGCTCAGGGTTTAAGGCTAGTGCTGTGGCTGTCCTCACCCCTCTCCTGCACTGTATTTAACACAAGCCTTTGGATGTCTCAGCTTGTTCTCCACCCACTAAGGGCCTCTTGATTGAAGAACAGGGCTGCCCTTGACCTCATGTGACACCTGATGGCAGGGTCAGTGAATAGTTCAACCTGGGTTGTGCAAGCGGGAGTCACATTCCTCACAAAATTGCAAAAGTGGGTAGGACCCAGCAGCTTCCACCACCCACACCTTTTCCACCTCAACATTTGCACGCTGTGTTGGGTTCCTGGTGGAGGAGGTGCTGGTCCTGCATTCCCCCTGATTGTTCATTTGAGGTGCTGGGTGCAGACTCACACGAGGTTCTGCTCCAGCACTTGGCAGTGCCCCAGGCTCCCTGTGTAATCTTAAACCAGTTACTGCAAACCAGACTTCCATGGGTGTAAAAAATCACAGCCTGCTCCAGCATTTAGGAAGTGCTTTGCATCCCCTGAGATTTCCTAGTACTTTGGGCACTACCCACTCTTTTTTTTTTTTTTTAAGAAGGGAAAAAGTATTTTATGCTGATAGCAGTGATGAATTCAGCTTGAGCTGTAGGTCAAAAACATGAGCAAGCCAAGGGAAGCCTGAAAAATTAAACTGTAATCAACTTCTCAGACTGATAAATATGAATTTATCCCTCTTCCAAATGCTTGCGAGCTAAAGGTCTTGGTTTCTTGGAGGGAGGCAAGAGGTTAGTGTGTTTTATATTGAAGAAAAATGTTATCTAATTAAGAAATAAAGTGGGTTTTCATTTCCCTGTTGCAGCCAATGTGTTTGTAGCTCTGCTCAGAAGCAGAGCAGTGTGGGGCAGCTGGCGTCCTTCTGCTGGCACCAGGCCACGGCACATCAGCCTTGTTGTTGATGTAGAAGAAAAGGATGCAGCAGGGTCGTGGCTCATTTTTTTTCATTTTCTTCTCTCTCTGGAGCTTTAGACAAGTGTTCTGACATTTTCCAGCCACAAGCTGTTTTTCAAAACTTGTTTGTCTGTGAAATTTGTGCTGTTCAGCACGACCAGGCAGCGTGTGCTGCATCCCAGCTCAGCGCACTGTTTGGGGCTGTGCTGAAAGTGAAACCTGTGTTTTGAAAGGTTTCCTGCAGTGAGGCCAGAGCTGTGTGAGCTCTTCCCCTTTCACGTCCTGCTCTTTGTAAGGAGAAACCTTGAAAGTTCCTTGTCCTGATTTTTTTTTCTCTCTCTCTTTCTTTAGAGAAAGGTTTTGTGGTTCTAGTCACTGGCCAATTTATTGCCAGCCTCCAGGAGGAATAAACCAGCCAGGCCTTCCAGAGAGGCACATACAAATAAAAATTGGCATGAAAGAGCCTGTATAATTTCTTTTCCAGCAAAGATAGCCCAAGGTGGCAATACCACCTGATTTGCCTGTCTCTCCAGAATGATTTGAACCTTCAGCACTAGGTTGGTTATGGTCATCTCTTCTCATTTGGAATGTTGGACTGGTTTAGAATTAATCTGATATTTTTACAAGTTGGGCCTGGTTCTGGAAATGAACCTGGCGACTCTCCAAACTTTGTGTGTCTGGAGAACTGGCTTTAGCCAGCGAGGTGATGTAAGTGCCTGTGTAGCACAGGGCTGTATCGCTGCTGGAGTGCCCCACTTGGTGACTGTCCCAGCACTGGTTCTTCCCAGCCCTTCCGGAAGCACAGAAAATGCCACGAGCAGAGATAACAAGGATGCATTTTGGGTGATCCAGCGTGTTTACCCTGAATCTGTTCAAGCTTTTCAACAGAATTGCCTCCAGCCTTGACTTCCTGAATTTCAGTGGGTGTTTGCAGAACTTGAGGAGCTGTCGCTCGAAAAACAAACCCGAGGGCTCCGGTCCAGCTCGTTTTCCTCGTTAGGAACAAAGCTGTTTCACTGCAGCTCTGCTTTCCCTCTGAGAGGATGGAAAGTGTGCCTTCACACACTGGCAGCCCAGGCCCAGAGATAAGTGCTGTGCTCAGGAAGGGCTGTCACCCACCCAGCTGGGAGTTATCCCTGCGAGACGCTGGTGGCGCGGGACCGAGCCCTCCCTGCGGTTACACCTCGGAGGGAGGTGGCCAGGACTTCTCCCTGCATGGGAAGAGAGCTGTGTGAGGAGGCTGGTGGGCACTGTGGGGAGGAAAATGCTGGTTAAGTGGGGTGACTAGACCTGGTCTGGGGAGTAAAGAGGGCTTTGATCTGCTTTGGAGACCGTCGGAAAGTCCTGGAATGATCTAAGGGATGCTAGAGGGATGCTTGGCTCAGACTTGGCCTGAGGAGCTGAAGGAATGAAAAAGCTCCTTGTGGTCTTGATTGCTGCTAAACATGCACAAACAGAGGATGGGAGAAGTGGTTTTTACTGGTTCCTGCACAGCTGTGTGCCCAGTGTGCCTGTGATTCCACTGGCTCTTCTTTGGGTAAATTTTGTGGTTTCTCTTGAGGTGAGCAGTGGGTCAGTTCAGGGAGGGCATTGGCTGTGCATCGTGTATTGGGCCTCATACACTTTGCATTTTGTAGCAACCAGCCCTTCAACCATCCCACCACTGTTGGCTTTAAAATTTCAGACTGTCTCCACTTCCATTATAGAATGCTTGCTTTTGATTCTTAATTCTTCACCCCAAATATTCCTGTGTACTAGTAAGCATCCTTTGAGCTTTGTTTTTTGGGTTTCCAACAGAAAAGTACTGGGGTGAAACCATGGGAAGCACTGAAAGTGGACAGGCATCAGACACTTGCCATAATGGCCTCTTTGATATTAGTGCCTTGCTCCCAAGAGTTCAGAACCATTTTCAGCCTTATGAATTCATTTTATTAAGACTAACAGTTATAGAGGAGAGTGTCTTCTTGCTTACAGAAGAGCTTATTTTTTGACAAACATATTCCTCAGCAATGTGGAGTGTCCCCTAAGGTTGTGAGTCCACCAGGCAGCTTGGCCTAAATGAACCAGATGCATTACAGAGTTAGGAGAGTCTCCCTGAGAGCTCCTCTCAGCTTTGGGTCTGTGGGTCAATCCAGGATGCAGTTTGGGACCTCACCATTCTCTGCTTTTTCTTTCAGCAGCGAAATGTCAGGATCAAGTTTGAATATGAAGGAGAGAAAAGGTAGGTACCTACTCCAGTCCCCTGTGAACACAGGGAAAAAATACCTTTTCCACCCAACACTGTCCAGCTGACTTCAGCCAGGATTCATTCCCCTAAAATCAGCTTCACTTTTATATGCAAGAGCCCTGCCTCATCATCCCATTTGCCACAAGAAGCTCCTGGGATTTGCACGCAGGCAAAATGGTTCCAAGCTGGAAGTCATTAAATGCCTCTTTTACCAAGGACATTGGGAGCACACTTGGAACCTTTTCTCTTGTTAATTCTTGAGCCCTGCTGAACCCACAGTGGAGCTGGAACTCTACAGAAATGTGTCCTTTGATTAGCAGTCCATGACACTTACTTAAGATAACCAGATTTTGGGCATGGGTCCCATAAAAATAGGGCTGGGAGTTAAAGCTTGTCCGCCCTTCCCTGCTTGACATTTTCATGGAATCACCTCTGCTTGGTGACTGTGACAGGGCAGGACACAGGCTGATGGTCCAAGGTGCATGTTAAAGCCAAAGAAAATTTAAGTAGTGTTATTTTAGGGTTAGACTCTACCTGCTGTGAGTACCTATAGAGGTGCTGTGTGTGATGGTACAGGAGTGTCACAGGATGCCAAACTGCATCGTCCCCACTTCCAGCCCTCCTCCCCATTCAGAGCCTCCTGCTGAAAACAGAGATGATAAATCACTGACCATTGCCTGATCTGGGTTTTCTCCAGTGGAGTGCTGCTGGACTTCCTTTTTTTTTTTCCACCTGTACTAATGTTAGAGGGAGGAGCAGAGGAGCTGCACAAAGATTATTGGTAGATATTCTTGCAGAGTTGTCAGGTCCCCTCTTGGGCACAGCAGAGGAGCAGCATTTCTGTGAGTGCAAAGTCAAGGAGCAGTTTTTATGCTTCATGATGGAATACAAGCCCTTTCTTCAGTACTGTCAGTCAAATCCCAAATTCCAGTATGCTTCTGCTAAACTGAGACTGTTGTTGTATTTGTTTGTGTTTACAGGATTATCCAGTTTCCAAGACCAGTCAAATTCAAGGAAGTGGTGCAGAAGGTCACGGACGCTTTTGGGCAGACGATGGACTTGGTCTGTGTGAACAATGAGGTACTCTTCTCCTTTCTGCTGAGGGGCAGCTTTGGGGTGCCTGCTGCCAACTTCAGGATTCAGCAGTGGTTTGTTCTGAAGGCCCTGATTCTGTGTTTTACTTGGATCTGAAGAAAAATAACCTTATTTTGTGGCTCCCAGCTAGTGAGTGCACAAGAGCTGTTGTGTGAACACAGCTCAGAGGGATTCTCAGCCCTCAAGCCAGGCTTTTCTTTTGTCAAAATCATTCCAAGGGAGGCCTGTTACACAGGAACATTGTCTTTCCCCTCACTCCATCAGGGATGTGAAGCCTTCCCACCTCGGGGGCAGTTGCAGGAGCGTGAAGTGCAGGGCAGGAGGGACAGTGCTGCTCACACAGTGTTCTTTTATCCAGCCCTGACTTTGTCTCACCCAAACCCCCGGCACGACGTGCACGTTCTTGTGGCTGGGTCTGCAGTGAAATGTGCATCACTGGACGTTCCTCCAGCAGCCCCTGTGGCCACATAAAAGCAGCCAAGGAGCCCTCCCTCTGCAAGCCTTGCATTTTAAGGCTAGGAGGCCTTTCTCCTCCATCATTCATCACATAGGCCTCTGTGTTTTTCCCACTTTTGAGCTCAGCACTGTGTGTGAGAGGAGGATCCTGCTGAGGGCTGTTAGCAGAAGGGGGAAATCCTTGGCATCTCCTTTGGTGTGCTCAGTATTTTCCTGTGGGGCATCTCCAGCCACTGGACTCTCAGGGTGGGTTTGGCTTTGGGAAGGAGGAGAGGGCCAAATGGCAAAGAGGTGGGCTTTTAAACACAGATCCTTTTGGATCTGCCCTGGCAGCTGGCTTGATCAAGTATTAATTGCAGGTGACCTGCAGCCTTTGATTAGAGTATGAATGGAGAGAGAGATCCTGAAGAGACCTTTCTTCTTTTTTTTTCACCCCATTTATTATTTTCTCCCTTCTGTTTCAATAGAGATTTGCTCCACAAAGCAATTTGCTATTCTTTTACAATAGGTACCTCATGATACCAAAGTGTCCACTGGGTTTTGACTTTGAATGCAGTCAGGTTTCTAATCTTGGGCATTCTTTGACAGCCCTCCCGGGAAAAGCCTGCCATTGAATTCCCCAGGAATGACTCATTTCATTCCAGGTTTCTTCCCACTGGAAGAGGATTTCTTTCCAACAACAGCAAACAGAAGCTTAAATAATGCATTTTATCCCATGTTAGAGACTGTCTTTTCTGCCATGTGCACAGCACATAGCAGGGCCATGAGCAGGCCTTTGGGTACTCCTGGTTTCTTAGGGCAGTGCTTTGTTTTCCTACACTTAAAAGTTCCACCTCGTGAGAGCCCACAGCTTTGGGAAGATGTCTGAGGAATAGCAACTCAGGGTTGTTGTTCTGGAAACACTGTAAACAGACAAGAGGGGTCTTTGGGGACACAGCCTACGTGCACACGTGGTGACACCCCAGCATCTGGCTCCTGGGTCAGGGGTTTGGGTGTCATGACTGCAAGTTTCAGAGGGAACATGACCACAGACTCATTGCAGTTAAATATTTCACCCTGTCTTTATGCCCAGGGGAGCTGTGCAGTAATTCTTTGCTGCCATCAGACACCTCTCCTGCAGTGGCACCTCGTAGACCAAATTTAGACTGAGGTCAGCAGGCCCCTGCAGAATCTCACTGAGTGGCAATGCCTGTCCTGGTGGAGGAGGTGTCCTGAAGCCAGGCTCAGTGAGATGAGCATGCCAACTGGGTGGAGCAGGGGCACACATGAATCACATCCTGGTGGGACCACGGAATCAGCAGGCTGGGGCTGCTGTAGATAAGAGCAGGGCCTGGCCATGGGTGTCCCCCGTGGGGAATGTCTGTGCTAGCTCTAGGCTGGGCTCATCTTTCTGAGGAGTGGGACAGCAAAGCCTGGCCTGGCCAGGGGCAGCACAGACACCAGCTTGTGTGTGACCTTGGGCAGAAGTTCACTGAACCTCCCTGTGCCACCACTTCTCTTCTGACCTCCTGCTGTCTCCTCCCAGGCTGCCCCTCAGCATCATTCTGAGAGCTTAGGGAGAGTTCAAGCCTGGGGAAATGGCAGAGGGGAGGGAGGAGATAAAAGCATATTTAACAAACATTTGTCGAGAATTGTTGATGCCAGTTGGTCCTGCATTGGGCAGGAAGATGAACTAATTGACCTCTCAGATTTTTCCCCAACCCTGTTTCCTACAATTCTTTGGCTTTCTGCAGTGTCTTAGGAGTGAGGTCTGACAGTGCTGCTGTAGCTGGTGAAACCTCAGCCTTTGCTCTCACATTTTCAACCTGCCCTGGAGAGACCATCAAGTCCCCCACTAAAACATCAGGCTCCAGGGGAGGAATCTATTTAAAAGCAAGTTAAAAAATCCAATAAGCTCTGTTTGTGCAACTTCTGTGTAGGTAACCTTTGCTGTTAATCACAGCTACTCAGTCTTTAGATCAAATAAACCCAGTTTCTGGAAATCCACCCTGGCAATTACCTCCATGGTTCTGCACGAGTCTGTTTTGAGTTTCATGCCTAGCAGATACCTGTTCCTGATATCCATATGTGCCACAGTCTGGAAGCCAAACGGAGCAGAATTTTCTCTCCAGATGTGGGTAATAGGTAAAGCCAAGCTAAATACTTGGCTCCAATCCCTTTTACAAGAGGGCAATTTCTCCCTGATGTTTTTGGCTCCTCTGAAGGAGGCATGCAAACATGTTCATGTTGTGATGTTGGAGAGAGATGGAGTGACCTACAGAACATTCTGTTCAGAGCAGCAGCTGGGGGATTGCTCTGAGCACTTGTGAGCAGCTCAGTGAAGGGATGGGTGAGCAGTGGGGCTGAGCTTACAGTTCAAATTCTGCTTGGTGGTGCAACAAGGGAGAGCAGCTCTCCACCATTCTCGGTTCTGTCTGGGGGTGTGTAGAGCAGGAGCCTTGTGTGCTTGAGGCAGAGCCTTTGTGAACCTCAGGAGAGTAAAGCAGTGTCCCAAGGGAATCTCTCCATCTCTACTGCTTAAGGGATCAGGCTGAGCACTGCACTTAGGAGACATACTCAGTGCCATCTCTGCCTGATATCTGTGGGGAATACAGGTTGTTCACTCAAATATGAATGAAGGATGAGAGAAAAATCACAGGATGGGTCAGGCTGCAAGGCACCACAAAGGGTGATCTGGTTCAACCTCCCTTCTTCAGCAGGGTCTAGAAGAGAGAGGGAAGAACATGGCACAGGGTTGTGTCTGGATGGTTCTGGAATATCCCCAGGCAGGGAGACCCCACAGCCTTTCTGGACAGTCTGTTCAGGGCTCAGTCACTGCACAGGGAAGAAGTTCTACCTCATGTCCAGAGGGAACTTCCTGGGCATCAGTTCCAGCCCATTCCTTTGGTGCCATTGCTGGAGCCCACAGAGCAGGGCCTGGTCCCTGCTCTGAGCCCTCCCTGCAGACAGGCACAGACAGGGATGAGGTCCCCTCTCAGCGTCTCCTCTTGAGCATGAACAGCTCCAGCTCCTTCAGCCTTCCCTCGTAAGAGAGATGCTCCAATCCCTTCATCTTCCTTGCAGCCTCAGCTGGCCCTGCTGCAGGAGCTGCCTGTCTCTCTTGAGTCCAGATGTGTTTTCTCTTGGGCACAGCACTCCAGATGTGCTCACAGGGCTGGGCAGAGGGGCAGGATCCCTTCCCTGACCTGCTGCAAGTGCTCTTCCCAGTGCTCCCCAGGGTATCACTGGCCTTCTTGGCCAGGAGCACACAGCCTGAGGTGTATTTGCCTACAGGCCACCAGCCAAACCCTTGGCACCACCCTGGGATCAAAAAGGTTGTCCCAGTGGGCTTGTGAGCATCACCTTGTGTGGCAGCTTCTCTGAGGTGGGTTTGCTGTGGCTGGGGACAGGAGCTCTGCTCACCCAGAGGGCTGAGCCACCTTTCAGGAGTTCTGGGAAGCTGTGGCTCCCAGTGAGAGCCTGCTGGGAGCTGTGGCTGCTCGGTGCCTTTGGTCAGTGGAGTTGCAGTGTACTTTGGCACAGGCATGAGAATAACATGTGCTGTGTTGGATCCAGTGCCCGAGGCAACCTGCAGAGGCTGAGGCCTGTTTGGGAAGAGATTAGGCAGAATATCCTGGAATGAGGGGCAAGAAGTTGTGCTTTTAATCTTAGCCCAGGGCAGCAGAAGGCCACAGAGCTCCTCTGAAGTGCAGCTGTGTCAGGCTTTGCAGGCTGTCTGCAGGACATGGTACACCACACAGCGAGGTTGGCAGGGTCACATTCCCCGTGGAGCTATGAGGGCAATAGTCTGCCATTTCCTTTTCCCAGGAAAACATCAGGACTTTTTGCTGTCTGACAGACACAGCAATGTGTAGTTCTCTGTTCTTACAAAGAGCAGAAGCTGAATTTGTTCTGCTGGGAGTGAAAGAAGCGGTTCTTGGAAGGAGAGCAATGCACACCTTTCACATCAAAAGGGAAAAGACTTTTATTTGTGGGATGTTCCCTGGTTTCACCTGATGGCCAGACACTAGGGATCTGTGTCAGTGTGCAGGAACAGAGATTGCAGCAGTAGGGAAGGGCCCAAGGCATCTGCCAGAGTAAATCCTTGGGTGCAACTTACTGGTGTCTTGGAGCACCACTGCATGACCATCAACCCAGCAAGAACGTGTGGGGTTGTTTTGGGGCTGGGTAGCAGCAGGTCCTGCTGCAGAATCACAGCAGCCCCAGAACAGCAGGCAGCAATCCCAAAGTTTCATCCCAGCCCTCTCCTTTTCCCACACTGGATTGCTGGTGTGACCTTTAAGCTTTCTCCTTGCAGATGTTGTTTGTTGTGAATTTTTTTTTGCATCTGTTCTTTGGTAAATGAGGTCTTGGAAGAAAATATTAGAGCTGGAGGGCATGGGGCCCCCATTTTCCATCGTCTCCTTGGGTTCCTCCCTCATCCCCCATTCCCAGGCTGCTCCCTGTAGGAATCTGCCTCCTTCTGTTTACCCAGAAGTGTGACATTGCCATCCTCTGGTGTTTGTTTAATCCCTTCCAGCTCCTGATCCCACTGAAATCCCAGGAAGATTTGGACAAAGCGATGGAACAGTTGGAGCTGAGCCCTTCCCTGAAGAGCCTGCGGATCCTTGTGAGCGCTCCAAAGAAAGCGAATGTGAGCCCTTCACCTTCTCTGCTCTTCTGTGTGCGGCCTGCCATGCCTTGTTGTTGTGCTGGGGAGTGGAAAGGAGCCTCCTGATGGTGCAGAGCAGAGGGCAGGCTGGTTATGAGGGGGCTCAGCCCTGCTCTGGCTCAGCTGCTCGGAAATCTTCCTGTGATAGTAGCCCAGAGGCTGAGCTCAGCTCCCTCTGGCTCCTGCATCCTGTGAGGGGTTAAATACCAGGCTGACTCTCAAACAAGGCTAAAGGCTGAGAGGACTCCTTGTGCTTTCTTTCTGGAGGTGCTGCCACCATTTCTTTTCACTCTCTGTGTTCAGGGTGATGCCCTGGCCCTGGCCATGCTGGGTGGCAGCGTGGGGACTGTTCCCTGCACGTGCTGCAGCCCTGCTGAAGGCTGGGAAGAGCAAACTGGAGAATCCTTCGGTCTCATGCAGAACTGCCTGGGTTTTTTCCATCTTTATTTATTTATTAGCTTTTTCCTGAGCTCAGTGGTTTTGCAGTTAAGCCTGTTAGCTTGACCTCGCTTGCACAGAGTGTCTTGCCAAAGCACATGTCGTGCTGCCCCAAGCACAGGCTGTAAGGCAAGGGATTTGTGGATGTTGCAACTCTGTTTCTTCTCTTTGTTTCCTAGAAGTACTGGAGAGATTGGGAGTCTTGAAACTCACTTATCCCCATTCTTCTCCGGGTGCTCACAGCCCTTGGAGCTTCTCCACTCTTTTTGAGAGGCTTGGGAAGTGCAGGGAGCAAGTCCCAGGGGAAACTGAGGCATCAGTTGGGGTTTCCTAAACCCTGGGGGGAAATGGGGCAATCTGTGGGAGCACAGCAGTACTGCAAGTCAGCTGCTGAGAGCAGGGGCCAGGTAGATCCCTGCCTGCCCTTGGGAGCAGGTCCATCTCTTCCTGAAGCGTGTGGCCATGCTCCTGTGTGTGAGAGCACACGGTTCTGAGGTCATGCATAAAATTATCATAAAATCACAGTTCACTGTGGCATGTGGTCTTAGAACCTTAGTAAAACCTGGCCACTACCAATTTACCAGCTGGATATGATTTTCTTTGTTCTTCCCTTACCTGTTTTCCCTGATCTTCCCCTCTCTGTTCCTCTGCCCTGTTGCAGAGGAACCTCTGCAGTGCCTCAGCTGCCACTGGAGTCTAGGGAGCAGGGAGGAGAGGGGCTGATTTTGGGATTGCAAGTGTTTCCAGTCCAGTGATCAGTCTCTGTACCATTCTGGAGATATGAAGTGCAGGAACAGTCTTTTATATCAAATATCTGTATTTGCCATTATCTGTGGGAGCTTAGTCTTATTAGACTGTTTTATTAGCAGATGTGAATTGTTTGTGAATGGTTTTTGGATCACTCTAGATTACGTGCATGTCTTCTTTCTTTGTTTGGTTTTTTTTTTTTCAGTAGTTCTTGGGTAATAGGGTCGCTGGGAGCCAAATACAGGGTTTCACATGGTGTGTCCACAGGGCTCTGGCCAATTCTGATCATTCCCTTTGTCTGATCACCAGCTCCTGCAGCCCAACAACAGCAAGCAGCATGAGATGAGGATCTCCAGATCCATGGGTGATATCATGGGCTCCCTGTACAAAGACTCGGAGAGGACGCGCAAGTATTCCACAGGTCAGTGCAACACAGCTCTCCCTGGGGAGCTTTCTGCTGCTTCCACCTGGCCACCACCCTCAAACCTCTTCTTTTGTCACAACCCCGTGGGTGTTACAGGCTGGAAAGCCACCCTGCTGTCCCCCAGAGTGACTCAGTGCAGTTGTGCTCGTCCTCAGCCTGAGGAAGAGAGGCTCTGCAGGTCTGTGCTGAGCAGAGCCACTCTGAGCACAGGAGTGAAGAGAATGGGGCACCAGGGCTGTCACTTGGGGGTGGGAAATGCAGTGATAAAAATTGATTTGATTCCACTGAGCTTTATCAAAGTGAAGGGGGATAATCTGTAGAAAGCCAAGGCTGTTTGGGACCTTTGGTTATTCCTTTAAGCATGTGCTGTTGATCTCTGAGTTTCTGTCCCCTTTTCTCAGGCAGGATAATGTAGCAGAGTGGGCTCAGGCTCCTTAGCTCCTGGGCTGGGACCAGCCTCACCATATAAAGACCAAATAGGTGTCTGTGTGCCACCAGTCTGTTCTTGTGGGTGAAATGCCATCTGTGGTAGCTGTTTCTGGGGTTTCTCAGGGGCATTTGTGCAGTGGTGTCATTCCAGAGAGAGGGATCATCCCTTTCCTTAGAGGTGCTGGAAGTAGGTGCTGCAACCCCTGAAACCAGGCTGGCAAACACCTGATCTCCTCTTGCAGCCCTGCAGGGACTGGAGTTTGTTTGTAGCCTTGTTTTGTTTTCTCTTTGGTTTCCTGAGCTTGAGTTTATGCTTTCCTTGCTTTCTAAAATACTCTGAGCTTTTTGCAATCCTGTTGGTCAGCTGTCTGTAGGAGCTTTTGTGTGAAGAACCTTGGAGGATTTTGTAGAGTGCAGAGCTGGTAAAGCAGTATGTAGGGCTTTGTAGCAGGAGCAGAATTATTCATATTCCAGCCTGCAGGCAGGATGAATGACTTTTTCACACAGTGAATGTTCTCTGCAGTGTCTCTGGGTGCAGGTTATAGGGTAATTTCTACAGATCTTTACCATTTTCATGCAAGTACTTGCCAGCTGTAGAACTGACAGCCTTGAATAAAGTGGGGCCCTCCTTCAGAAATACACATGGAGAAATACTTCATCCTCTAAAGATCCTCTGTACTTATATGGCAGTAAACACTTCCAAACTCTGTGCAACAAATGAGTGTTTTTCTCCAAGGACTCACCCCTTCTCTGTTTCATAGCCTGTGCTGATAACAAATCCTGTGGTTTGCTGCATTTCAGACAAGATGTATAGAAAATGTTCTTTTCTATAGACAGCATAGCCCTTGTGCAGCCATGCCCAGCTCTCACTGATGCCAGGGGTGGGTGGCACATGTGCAAGGGCTCTCCTTGAGCCTGGTGTTTGGAAGTAACAGGGTTATCTTTTTCTATCTTTTTTTTTCCTAGCTCACATGGTTTTTGAGAGTTTGGCACAGTCACTAGATAACCCTGAATGAAAAGCACACATAAAGCACAGAGTCTCAGCAGGAAATGTGCTTGAGCAAAACTTCTCTGCTGCCCTGTTTGTTTTTTGGGTTTTTTTGGTACATGTTAGGCTGTTAATGAACAAAGAGCCGTGGCACTGGGAGCTGTCACTGACGTGTGAGCCTGAGCATGATGGGCAGGGTTGATTCCTTGTGTAGCAGTGGGAAGATGGATTCTTGCAAAGTTAAGCCTTTCCTACCAACTCCTATTTCCATGCTTTGGCCTGTCCTTCCTGTCTTGGAGCTGCTGGTTCCTGACCAGCTCTGCACCACTGACTGTGAGGTGTCACTGCCTTAAGATACCCTGAGCCAAGGCAAGGCAGACAAAGGGTGAGATATCAGCCCTGCAAGGGTGAGAGCCTGAGGTACAAATGGATTTTGAGGGAGTGCTTGAAGAGCAGAGTGGAGGGATGGACATAATGTGCTGCTTTAATCAAGGTAATGGAGGAGTGTGGGCAGCACCAGCTGTGGGATGCAGAGTGTGCTAATGTTGGGATTTTCAGGAGCTGATGTGCCAAACTCTCAGTCCTTGGCACTTTTACATGGTCAGGTGGCAAAAGCAAGCATCAGTGATACCTGTTTCTTTTTCCATGTAAGCCACTAGTCTTGCCAGGAGGTTTCAGCAAGCCCTCAGCATGACAACAGAAGGTCACTCCTCTCTGTGGGTTATCTGGGGTCTGTAGGAAGCTGCTGCAGCTCTGCTTAGGGGGTGCTCACAGTCCAGCAGATGCATTTTTGACCTCCTGAGTCAGAACTGGGTGATCCAGCAGCTGGGCAGAAACTCCAGCAAGCTGAAAGGGAGAGCAGCATCTCAAATGGAGCATAAAACCCAGCATCAGGGAACAGACAGACAGACAGTCATGATGCTGTGTTTTGTTTTCCTGCAGTGGGGATTTCACTGAACTTGGTGCATAGTCAAAAGGCATCCTAAGAGGCTGGGAATTTTCTAGGAGAAACTCTTCTTCCCTTGCAGTCACAAGGCATTTCACAGTGTTTTCCTTCTGCTGTCATCAAAGTGGTTGCTATCAAAAAAGGATCTTAATTCAGTTCAGCTTTTCTCTTGAAACCACATTTAAAAGGAAATTTAAAGTGCCTTTATACTAAAAGGTAGTTCAGGGTCATGTTCTCCATGTTTTTGAGATGTCTCATGTTTTTCTGCTGACTCTGCCATGTAAACAGCAGTGGAAAATAATAAAACTGTATGTAATTGGCACAAGCACATTGGAAGGGAGGTAGATGTTCTGGGGAAGATTTAGCTATTTTTGCTTCTGCTGGGCAGAAAATGTCTTCATGCCGTGTCCCTGAAAAACCTTATGCAAAGTCAATATTTTCTTTTTTTTTTTTTTTCCTCCATAAAGTTTTTCAGTGGAAATCCCCTTCCAGTTTTTTCATGGCCAGCAAAAGTGCAAGAGAACTTGAATTGAAAAAAGAAAACTTGTTGGGTTCTGGATTTTCAGATAACAGATTGTTTTTATTTACTTTGAAGAAATGCATGTTTCAGAACATTATCCAAAAAATTATTTAACAGCCCATTCCAGCATCACCATTTCAGTAGAAACATTTACCAGAAGCTTTATTTTACTGGGGTTTCTTTTCATGGAAAACCAGGCTGCTGAGCTATGTTTTCATGTGCCTGCCAGCTCTCTCCAGACCAGGAGTATTGCAGGAGTTAGGATGGATGAAACCTGCTCTGTTTTGAGAGGAGTAGGAAAATTTATCTATGTGCATCATGCCAGCTGCTTTAGAGATAGAAAGTAGGTTCTGTCTTGCTTGTTAGTTTAAAAGTACCCTAAATATGCCTCAAATCAAAATGTAGAAATCCATGCTCAGGATCAGCAAGGAGAGGAGGGAAGCTTGTAGGGATCCCACTGGAAAAGAAGAAATTGAGGGAGATTTGATCCATCTGCTCACAGCTCCCCGTGACGGAGCAGGGAGAGAAATTTCCAGCAGGTTTCTCTCTTTCTCCCGTGCAGCCCTGTCCTGAGCCTGGTGTTTCTGCCAGGGCTCAGAGGAGCAGCACATCCTGACGTCGTGTCCCTTGTTCAGGAACATCATCCCAGGGCTGGGCTCCCTGTGGCTGCAGCTGGGAGTGGTGGCAGCTGCCAGAAAACCCTCCCCAGCTCTGGCTGTTCAGGGGCTTCTCTTCCCTGCTTGATGCTGGTCAGTAGGTGGGTGAAGTTTTGGGAAGAGCAGGGGAAGATGAAGCCAGGGAATGCGGGGGCGGAGGGAAGCCAAGCCTGGCACGGGGGAGCTGCCTGTACGTGCAGCACCACGAGCCCTGCACACACTGCATGAAAGGCACTTCTTAAATAAAGTATCAGAAGGGAACATGAAAGGCCCCAGTGGGTGCCAGCAGTGACTCTGAGTCTCCGTGCTGTCCTGGCTCTGTGTCCTCAGGACACGCTGTGCTTTCCTCTCAGATCTGTGGCTTTACATTTGTGTGTGTAAGTGGAGCAGGACTCCCTCCCCAGAGCACCTTGCTGCAGAGGCTACCTGAGGTCAGATGCTCAGCCAGGGCCAATTCTGAGTTCAGGAATCCCAGACAGAGCTGCTGAGATCTGACCAGCACTCTGCCTGCACAGAAGTGCCTCACAGCCTGCCCCATCCCCACTGGAGCTGACATGTTGTCCCACAGACCCCAGGACAGTTCCCTGGGGGCCTCCTCTCCCTGTCTGGTGCTGCTGCTGTTTCTTGAGTATTAGGTCAAGGGTGAGGAGCATCTGTGACTTGTCAAATGGGCACATCTGGCCTTTTCTGTCTGTTTCTTCCTCTGGTGGATTCATCAGCATTATCCAGCATATCCAATGTGTTTTCCCCACTATGAATTAAGCCTGCCATGAAGTACCACTGTTGCTCTCTTTCTTTGGGCCCTGTTTTCCATTCCTCCCCTGCTCCAGCAGCACTGGGATTGCCTGAGGTTTTGTTACCAGAGCAGCATAGGGTTGGAGTGGGGAATCAACCCTGAGCTCCAGAGCTCTGCTCCCAGCACCTTTCCGTGTTTCTCCCAGGTGGAGGAACATGCATGGATGCAAAGCAGCAGCAACCAGTGCTCCTGGAGGTGTGAAGCTGCAGAAATGACTTTGGGCAGCACTTCTACCCAAACAGCCTAGCTGAAAAGGGATCTGCTTCACTCCAGCAGTTTCCAAGCATGCAAAAGCCTAAGCACTTTGTTTAATTTCCTTACCTGCTGGGAAATAGCTGGTGTCTTATTCCCTTTTAAAGTTTTTGCCAGGAAATGTGACTCTGGAAGGTCAAAGACAGCTGATCTATGGCTGGGAGTAGTTGTTACAGGTGATGGGAGATCATGGGAAGTCTTTGTGCTTGTGATAAATCTGGTTTAACTCCCTGGGTTCAGATCAAGCAGGGCATGTACAGATCTTTGTAAAATCATAGTCAAAGGGTTTCTGGATAGCAAAGGGATCAGTAGTAACAGAAATGCTCAGCAGAGCTAGGATACAGCAGTTACACCTCACTAAATCCTCCAGCAGCTTTTTGGGGCAAGAGCCACCCGAATGTCCTTGTGCTGCATTCCACATTGGCATCTGCTAAGCAAACGAGGTGATGCTGATGCAGTGATTTATTCAGGGTGCCTGAACTGCTCAACAGTTAAAAGTTTATTTATTTATCTTCAAAGAGAGGATGCTGTACTTCCCAACTGGTTTTGTTTTAGGGCTGGTGGAAAGCCAGTTCGTTATGAGTGCTGCAGCACTCGAGAGTTTCTCTTCTCTTGATCTTGGCATTACTTCAGTTGGAGTTTTTTCACTGTGTTCTTATCCTGCAGGAAATCTGTGAAGGAGAAAATAGGAAGAAGAAAAAAAAAATGTAACTCAAAGCCATATGACTTTTATTTTTACAATCTAAGCAAGGAATCAGAAGGAAGATGTAGCATGGACAGACAAATCTGTGTGTTTGGTGTAAATCCAAAAAGGCCTGATTTAATGATCTTTAATGCTGGTGTGACACTGTTAACATTCACAGCTCCTGATGTGTATCTGCTGAAGTGAAAGGTGGGAACTCGGGTTGGTAGTGTTGATCACAGAGATGGATTTATTCCAGAGATCCATCTGGCACAGTAACTGTGATGCAGAAGAGGCAGGAGTGTTGTTGGATAGATCAGTGTTGGCTCTCCATGATGGGGTAGGCCCCCTCCCAGTACCTTTCTCTTGTGCTCAGCCCTGGGCATGTTGTTAGCAAATGGTGGTAATGAACCCAGGAACTGGCAGGAGTGCCACAAAATGGATACAAAATGTGAGGAAACACATCTCCATGTGCTTTCCATCTCCTCAAGGATGTGTGCTTTTCAGAAGTCTGCATGAAAACAAGTTGTTGTGTTGTGTGGAAGCTCCCGTTGCACGGTGCCAGCTGAAGCTCCAGCACGGATCCACACGGATCTCCGTCAGCAATTCCTTGCCTTGGAGTGATGACAGCACAGGGATGGAGGGGAGGGACTGCAGGCAGTCAAGCAGAGCCAAGACTCTGCAGCTGGGCCAAGCAAGGGCAGCAATCCCTACAGCTGGAAAAGGCACAAGGATAGAGTGGATTTGGGGGAAAAAACAGGAGGAATGGAACATCTTCCTAAAGAAGCTGTGGGGTTCTATCCCAGGTGCAAAATGGAAATCACCTTCTGCTAAACAAACCCTGTGAGGGAGCCAGTGGAAACTTTGCTGTCTGTGCATAGGATGCACAGGGTAGAGGCTCTGGGGTTATAGACAGGGGAGACAATTCCCTTGGCCAAAAATGGGACAAACTGATCCCATAGGTCATTCCTGCCCTGGGGTTTTTGCGTTTGAGGGCTGGTTTTCCTTTGTCTTTACTTTTGTGTAGGGAAAGGTGGGGAGAAGAGGGTATTTGAGTGAAAGTTTTTTTGCCATATACCAAGTGTTTCAGTGATGTTGTACTGAGCACAGCCAGGCTGTTTCCCACATGCCTGGACAAGGCAGTGATCTGTTCCAGGGAGGGAATGCCCAGAGGTCAAAGGGGAGGTGGGTTTGTGGTTCGTGGTTTGCTTTGAGACTGACTGATTGTATCACAGCAGAACTCCCAGAGCTCTTTCCTTTCTAGCATCACACCTGGATACAGTGACAGCTCTTAGGATCCAGGGTGTGTTGAAGGTCAAGTCTGCTACATGATATGTGGTCCCACAGTAACAAACCCTCCCTGGTGCTAAAGCTTTGGAGGATGCCCATAAGCTACATGATGTGTGGTCCCTCAGTAACAAACGCTCCCTGGTGCTAAAGCTTTGGAGGATGCCCATAAACAGCATCACACCTCTAGCTCCATTCCCATCCTCATGAGTCCAAACCCAGCTGTGGCAGCAGCTCTCTGGCCACAGAGAGCAACAGACAACATTCCCAGGCATCGTTCTGTGAGAAGCTCAGAGAGAAGAATTATAAACAGTTCTTATCTTAACTTGTTGCACCTGGTGTTGTGAACATGTGGAATGTAGAGATAGGGATGGATATGTTATGGAGATACGTTTTCCAAAGGGTGTTTTTTTAATTAGCCAATGGTGATGGTGTTTTAATTAAAGGACCAATCAAGTCCACCTGTAGGGAATTAGGGTATAAAAAGCAATGGCTTTCTTAAGAAAGTGAATTAGCCTTCTGTGAATACCTTGGGAGTCTGTGTCACGTATTACACTGCCCTGTGCTGCCACCCAGGAGCTCTGTGCTCCCTGGGACAGCGCGTGTGGAAGGGTTTGGGTTGGTGGGTGCCCTCCTTGAGCCGTGTCTGTCCCCGTGCCAGGCTCCCTGCACACCGGCCGCAGCTCCCCGCCGCCGGGCAGCGTTCCCGAGGAGCAGCAGCAGATCGCCCGCCAGGGCTCCTACACCAGCATCAACAGCGAGGGCGAGTTCATCCCCGAGACCATGGACCAGAACGTGAGTGGGGCTGGGGGGCTGCCTGGAACGGGACAGCTCTGCTGGCTCTGCTGGGAGAGCTGCCCCCACTGTTACATTCTGGGGCTCAGGCCAGCTTTTTCCAGGAATGGGTGCCCCCGGGCTTGACATGCCTGGGAAAGTCTGATTTCCAGGAACCCTGAGAGCCAGTGGGGATGGCAGATGTGCCCAGGCACCTCAGGTTGCTCTGGAGCAGCAGAGATCTGGGGCACATGTGTACACCAGCTGCCAGACCCTCATGGCCACAGCATTCCCAGATCCAGGACCATGTGGGAATGTGCCAAGCAACCGATTGCCTGCGATTGCAACAGCCTGGGGATATCAGCAGCTCTGGCTGCTTCCCATGTGGTGTTTCTGCCTGAGCTCCAGTTACAGTTCTTGGCTTTGCCCAAAGCCTCTGTGGTTTTGTGTCTCTGTCCTTCTCCCATTTATATTTTTCTTAACTCTCTTAATAAGGAAAGTGTATATTCCAGTCCCTCAGTAATGAAAGAGCAGCAAGTTCCTCAGTGCTGAGCAGTACCTCATCCTCCAGTCAATTTGGTACCCACGGTGAGCGAAACCCTGCAGTGTCAAGGGGCCACCTTACACTTCCCTCTCCATTTGCATTCCTGCTCAATCTGTAGCTCTGAAGAGTTTAGTAGAGATCCTGTGAAGTCAGCTGGGCTGTCTGAGCACACCATTCTTACAAAACTCTTGGAAACACAGCACCAAGTTTGCAGGAGGGACATCTGGAAGGCACTAAACTCAATCCATCAGGCTGCTATGCTGGCCCCCAAGGATGTTCCTGGGGAGATATGTATTTCCTACACCCAAAAGCACCCACTGGCTCCACATTTGCATGCAGGCTGTGCCAGTGTTTCCATGGCAAAGTTGTGTTTTCAACAGTTTATTATACAGCCATTAATAAAATAAGAAGTCAGTCCGGGTGAGTCTTGGCAGCGTCAGAGTACAGATGTATCGTGTGCTCCTTGCAGCAAAAAGTTGGCTCTCTATTGTTTTCACATGCCTCCAAAACATGTTGGGGAGGATTAAGACAAAGTGTGTGTGCAGGGGGAGGGTCCCTGTGACCCCCTTGGGTGTAAATCAGCTCAGCTCCACCGGCTGTTTGTGGAGCTCCGTTAATTCAGAGCCCTGAGCCTGCTCTGGATGAAGGTTCCCAGATGCTCTCCTTGCTTTTCCCCAGCATCACTCTGTGGGTGGCCCACAGACCTTTGCTGGTGAATTAAAAGCAGGGAAAAGGGGTTTGGGGAATGGTTTGGGGTTTATGGTCTTTCCTCATTGAGCAGTTATGCTTTTCCCTGTATGGGCTTTGCCTGCAGAATGTTCTTGTACTGCTGCTTCCATATGTGCTTCATGCAAAACCACTCAGAAGCTGGAGCTTACTGCCTTTTGGGGAATGCCCCTGTGCAAGCCTGTGATGTAACTGTGGTCTTGAGACCAGCCTGGCAGATGAACAGAGGCTGAGTATGGAGCATGCTCCAATTCCCAATTTTATGCTTTTGAGAGATGAGTCTGTTTCAGCTTTAACTGCTGGAAGAGACCTGGCATGGCTGGCAGAGGTGCAGAGTGGCTTCTGTCAGAGTGCTTGCTCCTCTTTGGCCTAGTGCATTTTGAAGGAGGTTTTGGGGTACAAACCAGGAAGAGGAGAGAAATTGCCCTTTGCAGCTGGGACTGACTGGCCAAAACAGCACAAGATGTGCTGACAACTGGCTGAGGAGGGCTGATGGGAACAGCCGGGGGAAAGGGAGCCTTGGGGAAGGAGGAGCGATGTGGGAAGCAGCAAAGGTTGGTTCCACATGGTGTTTAACCCTTGTTAACCTTAACCTTGTTAAGCTGAACCCTTGTTGCTCAGCTTTCCCAGGAGTGAGCTGTGGAGCAGGGGTTAGTGAATGTCCTCAGCCAGGAGGGAGCATGGCACTGCTGGCAGCACAGTGTGGCCCAGAGCAGGCTCTGCTCCATGTGGAAATGCACACAGCTCCAGGGTTTACCACTCCTTACAAACCCTCTATTGTTACTAGCCAGCTATAAATAACCCTGGCCAGTACAATGTCTCATCCAGGAAGCAACACAAATGCAGTTTTGACTCACTGAGCTGGTGAGTGCCAAGCCGGTTCTTCCAGCCAAAGCCCTGATGATGCTGCGCTTATCAGCAGAGAGGAAGGCTGGGCTCGTGTGCCAGGGCAGCTCGGGAAGTCAGGAGCCCAGGGCTGCAATCCTGCCTGTGGTACACAATATCCACTTGGCCTTGGGCACATCGTTTGTGTCCTGATACATATTTTCCTTTAGTAGTAATATTATTATTGCTCACAAATGCTTTGAGCACTTTGGATCTCATTGACTTCTCCGCACGCTTTGAACATCAGGGTGCTAATGATCTTTGCTTCAGTTTTCCTACCAGCAAATAGCAGCTGGAGAGAACAATAATGCAGAGAAGGCATCATAAATAGATGAGCCTGCAGAGGTCTGCTAGTTCTGGAGCTTGGAGAGATACAGTGCATGGTTTTATTGTTTCCCCTTTTCTTTCTCTGTCAGATGCTTGAAGCTTTCATCAGCCCCGATGATTCGCTGTCTGGGAGCTGTCAGTCACTGGACAGGTCTGTGGACAGGTGAGTTGTGTGTGTCACCATGTTCACAAGCTGAACTGCAGCCTCTGCTTCATAGCAGGAGAGCAACAGGATCGGTGGCAACCCCTGAGGTTTCTGTTGGGATGAGGAGGCACCTGAGAAAAGCAAATTTATCTTTGTTGCTGAAAACCAGACCCTAGCACAGCTGTCTGTGCAATGGTATGATCTGAATTGCAGTAATCTGAGCTGGACAAGGACAGCCTAACTTTATGACTAGATTTTCTTTTTTTTTGCCTTTTGAGATGAAAATTCTCACAGAATCACACAATGGTTTGGGTTGGAAGGGGCCTTAAAGATCATCCAGTTCCAATCCCCTGCCATGCGAAGGGACAACTTCCACTAGTCCAGGTTACTCAATGCTCCATTTAGCCTGGCCTTGAACTCTTCCAGGGATGGGCATGCACAATTTCTCTGGGCAACCTTTTCCAGTGTTTCACCACCCTCCCAGCACCTCCTTCCCCTCTGGCTCTCTGCAGTCACCAGGTCAATATTCCACCAGCCTCTCCGTGCCTCCTCCTCCCTGGGCACTCTGTCTGCTCTCCACTGACCACTGGCAAACTCAGCAGCCCCTGTGAGTGCCAGCAGCCACAGACGTGTCAGTCAAGGTGCTGGGGACACCAGATGAGCAGTAACTAAGTTTAGCTACTCAGCAGGAAGCAACTGGGACACGTTGTACTAAGCCAGGCTGCGATTCAGTGCCTGCTGCCACTGAGCTGGATCCCAGCTCCCACGTGCACAGAATCCCTGTGTTTGCTGCTGTGCAGGGTGAGCTGTGGATAAGACACGGTGTCCTTTTGGGAAGCAGTCTATTTTTTTTTCCATCTGCATCAAAGGTTGTCTATTTTTTTCCGCTGTTGCTGTTCCATACAGCCCCAAGGCTGTGTTCCAGCAGGCTGCCTTGGGTTGATTGTGTGGCGTGCTTGGGGTTTGCAGCTCCGTGTGCTTTGGACCCGTCTCAGCACCAAGGTCCATTTCCTTTTTGTGGCTTTTAATAATTTCCTGTGATGTATTTGCTCATTGTTAGGGCTGTATCGAAGCTAGATTCCTTGTGTTCCCAACCTCTCTGGCCCAGCTTTGCTTTTGCACAGATTGTGCCAAGAAGAACAGCAGAAGGAGCACGGGCTGTTTGTAGCACTCTGCTGTGAACTGACAGGAGAGCTTTAGGCTTTTAGCTCCGTGAGAGGGTGGAATGGCCTGATTTCATGTCCAAAGCAGGCAGATGTGTCCAGTCATGGGTCTAGGAGCTGGAATAGGCACAAGGAGGGCTGTATTACTCCAAGGAAAAGGAGTAAGTGGGACTCTTGCTGCAAAGAGGTGGCAGAGGCCTTGCAGCCAGTTGTTTGGGATGACATCAGCCCAAGAGGACAGAGCAAGTCACCAGGCTCAGTGACCAGGCTGAGGGTCGGGAACAGCACCACAAACTCCTCTTTGCCACAGCAGTGATCAGCTTTGACAGGAGTAGATTTCAGAGCACTTTACAAAGCTGATTTCTACTCTGTGCCTATATTGTTAAAAGAGAGAGTATAAAACCCACATGCCCAGCTCACTCTGTGAGAGCCTGGGGTGAAATTGGGATTGCAAAAATCCCCTTGCAGTGCTTTTCCATCCTCTCACTGTAGTTTAAAGACCTTGAGGAACCAATGCCACATTCTCCCTCCTGGTGCTGTGGGAGGCTGCGTGTTCCCAGTGGTGGTGCAGAGGAAGGTGGGAGGGGATTTTGGACAGGAGAGAAACCTGCATGAACTTCATTCTTGTGCAGGATGAGGATGGGAGCTCAGTGGTCAGTGCAGCTTGTGGTTTATCCTGTCCTTTCCCTATTTATTAATTCCATAGCCTTTCTGATATAATAAATAAAGCTTTTTTTTTTCCCCATCTCTTTGCAGCCCTCCCTTTCCCCAAACCCCTGTTCCTGGAAGGAAGAGCCATCCCAAAGACAGTCTTGACTGCATGGGTAAGCACTCTTGGTGGTTTATATTTGCTGAAAAGTACAAAAAGCCTATTGTACAGATGCTGGATAAAATCTATTAGAGAGATAGCACTTTATGAAAAGTAATTAAAAGTAATCAAGCAAACCAGCTCCATGGCTTGCGTAACCCTTCAGAATTGACCCTGCAATGATCAAACATGAATATTCTGTAAAATCAAATGGCCCAGAGTATCAAACACAGGCAGGGTTTATCTTCATTAACCCTTTGTGACTCTGCAGCAACACCTTTGAGACTGGTTTGGGAATCAATTGACAGCAACAATAGTCCAAACTGGGCAGCTAGGGACCTGAGGGGGATGGATGCAAGCAAGCAGAGCTATTGAGAGATCTGTGGTGGAAGGTGTTGCTTTTGTGTTTGCAGACAACTGCAAGGTTCTGACAAGCTGGGAACAGCCTCGTAGGATCAGCTTTTGTCTCTCTTTTCTCATCTGGGAGTTTCCCCTTCAGGATCTCCACTTCCTACACAGCAAACCCCAACTCTCTAGGGAGTTACACCTCTTCCACTTGCATGAATAATAATCTGCAATAGTGCAAATGCTGTGAGAGAAACTATTGGTGCTTGCACAGATCATAGGTTACTGCTTAATCACTTACAAACATCCAGCTGGTTAAATAATGGAAACTCTGTAATATTGTAATGACTTGCACTAATAAAAATGAGCAAATGGCAGCCAGCCTGTGGCAGGATAACTCATTGCTGGCCTCAGGCAGGATTTCTAGATTGAGCTGCAGAGATGAAGCTGCAGTCAGCCCTCGTTGCTGAAGGTTTGAATGCTTCCCCCGTGGCACTTTGCTGTGAGACACCTCTGGGCACCGTTGCTCACACGTGGCTCACCGAGAACCTCTTGCCCTGTCCTTGTTGCTCCTCTTGCTGACCATATTTCAGCCATTATGTGCTCTTTTTGGCAATCACACCGAAGCACAGCAGAGGCCAGGAATGGCCTCTGAGGAGCGGCTGCTGGCCCCAGGCTAAGACAAACAAACAGTCAGAAGGGGCTGTGTCATTAGAATTGGATGGAGGAAAAACAGCAGGTGAAAGAAGAGGGTGGAATGACAGATATTTTAATCTCAAGTTATTTGGTGCTACCAGCAATGGCTTCCTGTGCTGGGGTTTTTATTAAAAAAAAAAATGTCCTTATCTTGCATGTCCATCCATCTCTCTCATCATCCAGTGTCTAAACTCTGATGGTCTTTAATCCCTTCTGTATATTCTATCTTTCTAGCATTTAATCAAATAAATATAAAAGTTTGGAGCTCTGGAGGTTTAAATTGACTTTCAGAGGGGAGGAGTCCATCTGAGAAGAAAGAGGGGAGATATTATCTGGTGTTAGTCAAGTGCTGGATTTTTTTACATTTCCCTGGAAATAGCTGATATCAGGGCAAAGGCTTTGGAGTGGATGTGTCTAGGCCTGACCCTGCCTAGCAGTTCTGTTTCATTTTTTTGCATTTTCCAAGTGCAAATAAGATGTTTTAGTGCTCTGCCTTGGAAACGAAGCACGATCTGTGTTAATCCCCTGCCTTGCACTTGAACAATGTGGGCCAGGGTCCATAAAGTCAGCAGTTAAACCTCTGCTTTAGGGGCACTAAGGGCAGTGTGTCTAACCCTGATTTTCCACCAAAGAGTTTGTGAGTGTGGGCAGATTTCACAGGGAGCCCTGGGGTATGTAAGGTTGTGTAAATGAGCACCTTGTCACCTCCTTCTTGCCTCTAACTCAGTGTTTTCTATAAGAAACACTCTGGGCATTTGATACTGAGCTGATCTCAGAAGTATCTGTGTCTTCTTCCCTCCTGGCAGATTTTGACATCCCATTCTGTGAGAGGTTTGGGAAAGGTGGGACCTTCCCAAGGCAGTACCATCTCTCCCAAAGTCGCAAGGACTACAGCGATGGTAAGGACGTGATGGGGGCTTGGGGAGGAAGGTGATCTGTCCTTGATGGCTTGTGACAGTGCCAGGGACTGGAACCACATGGGAAGGAGAGGTTTCTGATAAAGGGAGAGCCACCAAGTGCTTTGGGATTCACTTGTGCATTCAGAAGGGTGTTCTCTGTGAAACCTTGTGGCTCTGCTCTTGGGAAGTGCTGAGCCTGCCCTCTGCTTACACCTCCTGCTTTAATTTAGCCATGGGGATGATTGGCATTTCTCATCCCTGGCAGTATCAACCTTTCTATTCCCCTAAATTGCTTGCTTTTGAGGATGATTTTTGTGACCTTTACAGCAGGTTTCTCACTGAGCCATAGGAAATCCCCAAGCAATTTCAGGACAGCAGTATCTGTTTGCTTCTCTGTTTTAAGCTGGCGAGCTCTGAGCTTTGGGGCCAACTCCATCACCTTTTTCCTGCTCATTCTTTCACTGTATGAGACTGCAAGCAGTGGGAGGCAAAAATTCCCTTGGGAAAAATGTACTGAGGACGTGCAGAGAGCATATTGAGATTTCCAGAATGAGCTTCATCTCTCACTGCCACCCCTGTGAAAGCAGGTCTGGCCCTGCTGTGTGGTCATTTGCATGTGGACTTAGGGGATGGCAGGGATAATTTTCAATGTAAATCTCTGCTTGTTCAGTGTTTAATTGTGATTAACAACCAACCAACCCCCTGATGTAATTAAACTGTTGCAAACCCCTCTGGAAACATCTACATTAGATGTAATGCCTGCTGTTATCAACTCTTAAATTGAATTTAAAGTCTTCACAGGCCTTTGCTTCAGTTTCGTTACACTTGCTTTGCTTAATTTGAAGAGGTGAGGATCTGGGTAGTGATGTGAGAAGGTGGTGACAGGTGGATCTAAGCTGGTGTATGTGTTTTGGCTGTAATTTTACCTTTTTCCCTCTGCAGGCCGGAGGACTTTCCCCAGGAGTTACTTCCCACAGGAGAACCTGTTTCAGCTCGTCCCTTCCAGCAGAACCAAGAGCTTTACTGGGGACAGCAAGCTCAGCACCTTGCAGTATGATGAGTACAGGCCCAAGTGTTGGAACAATTTTGAAAAGGGTCTGCAGGCCTTCAGCACCTCCCCTACAAAAACCAGGAACTGTGAGTGAACCAAAGCCCCGAGTGCCCGAGGTCTCAGCAGAGCTGGGATTTGGCACAAAATTGAATTATTGTGACCTTCTGAGTTACTGGGCATCAGCTAAGCCAGCCATGGGTAAACTTTGCACCTCCACCATGGGCGCACTGCACCAGCTTCTGTGTCATGAGCAAGGTTTAGTACAGCACTCTGTGCCTTAGCCTGGCCTTTGGCTGGGAGCTGTGTGGGGTCAGCTGGTGTTCATCTTGCTTGTGTGTTGGACTGTCCATGTGGGTGTGTCAGCTTCCCAGAAAACTTGGGATGTGGGAGCAAATGCATCCAGAGTTTCTGTTCTTTGTCTTGCATTGCTGTCACCTCAGGACCCAAAGATGGTCTTGCAGGCTCCTCTGCTATTGCAAGACTGCCCATGTTATAGAAGCTGGTGCATTTTGGGCCTGTTCAGTGATGGATAGCATCCTAGAAATGACCAGTGAGATAAAACTCCTCACTGGTCCCTGCCTGGGTTGCTGCTCAGCCCTCCTGTATTCTGCTAAACACTCCCACAGCAGAAGGGAAATTCCAATGTTGGCTAAAAGAGGAAAGACTCTTAATGAAATAGGACTTTCCTGGGATTTGTTTCTGCTTTATGCTCATGCAGACTGGGAGACATTCCCCCCACACCAATAGCACCAGTGTAGTTAAAACTGGTTTGTCCTGGTGCCCCTGGGAGAGAGAGACTCACTGTCTGCCCTGTAGGGTCAGGTGGACCCTGATGCTAAAATCTCCCTGCTGTGCTCTTCTCTCAACCCTCTCCTCTCTCCTGTAGCCCTGCAGGCACCTGTGAACTGGAGGCTGGGGAAGCTGCTGGGAAGAGGAGCTTTTGGGGAAGTTTATCTCTGCTATGATGCTGACACTGGGAGGGAGCTGTCAGTGAAGCAGGTGCCTTTCGACCCTGACAGCCAGGAGACAAGTAAGGTGAGTACAAGGCCAGGGCTGTTCTGCAGCACCCTGGGGAGCTGTGGGCTGGGGGTAGAGGTGTCCATGTCCCTGGGAGCCTGTGTGTGGAGACAGGGTGTAGTTTCCCCTCTCTGGAGTAGTCCTGAATGGCTTGTGGCACCAGTCACAGTGCTCTGGTGACTTCTGTGCCCCCCAGTTCCTTGGTTACACTGGCCTGCTCTGTGTCAGGTATCATCTCTTGCAGGTCTGTCTGATCTTCCTTAGTTTTGTCCTTCTTGCTCCCTTCACCTTCTCCCATTCTGCTCAGTGACTTTCTTGAAATCTTTCCAGAAAAACTCCTTAAACACAATTAATAATAATAGTAACAACAACAACAATAACAATAAGAAGAAGAAGAAGAAGAAGAAGAAGAAGTAGTAAGCCTGTCTCAAAGCCAAGCCCTGTCTTTTTCCTTGCCTTTCCCTTAGGGCAGTGCTCCTCATTTCTGAGCCTCATGTGGCCAGTGGCTTCTTGGGAGCTTCACAGCTGCTACAAAAACTGTGCTCAGCACGGAGCAGTATTTCTATCATGTTCCCAAAGACACCATCTTTCCCTTCATCAGGAAGCCTTGTGGTTTGTTACAGGAGGTGAATGCTTTAGAATGTGAGATTCAGCTGTTGAAGACTCTCCGTCATGACAGGATTGTGCAGTACTATGGATGTCTGCGGGATCCTGAGGAGAAGAAACTGTCCATCTTTGTGGAATACATGCCAGGGGTAAGTGTGCTTCCTGCTAAACATTGTCCTGAGTGGCAAAAACAGATTTGGAGTTTCCTGGACTTTGGTGAAATTTGTGTCTGTCCAGCTGAGCTGTTTTATGGCTGATGAACCAAACCAAAGCAGTGGATGCATCCCTAAAGCTTGGGAGAGCTTAGGATGTGACTCAGATGTCATGGTGAAGCCCCTCAACAAGCATTGGGTGAAAATAAAAGCCTTGCAGGCAGGTTTTAGGTTTGAGTCCTGGAGCAGGGTGTGTGCACAGTCTGGAATCTGAGCCTGGTGAATGTGGGACATGATCCAGATCCTGCTCCAAACACTGTGGCCTGAGCCCATCCTTAAGTATTTACTGCAACTCCCTGCAGGACAGGCTAATAGTACAACTGTCCACCCACAGCTGTCACCAATTATTTGTGGCTTTCAGCACGTGTGTACTAAAAACAGTGGTATTCACTTAGAATCTGTTGTTGAGGACAGAGCTTTTTGTGGGCAGCATTATCCTCTTGTGCAGGAGTGGCTGCAGTTTGTGGCTTTGCTGATATAGGATGAAATAGTCATGGGGAAAAAGATCAGAATGCTTTGAGGGAGTTTAAGCAGGGGCTGGAGAATGTGCATGGGTGAGTTGAGCCTCTCTTTGTGTTTGGGAGCTTGTGAATTACATCAGCCATTAGACTGATGGTGTAAAACAGCATAATGCTGTGTACATTGCTGGAGGATGTGTTCTCCTAAGTCCCTTCTGTCCAGCTGGATTTGTTCCCCAGAGTGTGGGAGAATAAACCCTTGTTTACACAGAGATTTGTAAGGTCAGAAGGGACAATTAAGTCATTTGGTTGCAAAAAATTTTAGTAGTTAAGTAAATGTGCTAGAGGCTCTCTGAATGCATCTTGCATGTGAGTGATTCAGGTGGACTTGCAAGCCTCTGAATCCCTTCCAAGCCCTGTCTTCCCTCTCTCCCTGTGGGCATCTTGCCTTCAGGCCCTCCACAAGGCGTGGACCCAGAGGAGTAAATCCCAGGAATTCCTGCAGTCCCCTTGCAGCTTATTCCACAGTGTGCTGGTGTTTGTTAGCAGCCAGGAAACCAGCATTTGATGCTGGGGCAGTGTCCAGCAGGGCTGGAAATTCAATGTTTGTTTTTTTAAATGATAAAGCTGAGCTCTGACCAAATACAGATTGACTTTGCTGCTGCAACAACAGCTTGTCTGACAAAAGCAGCTTGGGGCTCTGGTTTCCAAGGGCAGTGGAAGTGAGGGAGTTCCCAAACCTTGCAGGACAGCAGCTCTGCAAAGCTGGGTCTGGCCAAGCTTCCACTTTAAGACAGTCAGCTTGGCAAAATATTCACAGGGCCAAGTTTGGGTGCACCCTGAGGCTGCCATTCTTTTAATGGCCCTCAGTTAATAACTGACTCTGCAGTTTCTGTCCTGCCCATAAATTGTTTTTTAAATTATGCTTGGAAAACAGAATGTTCCATTTGACCACAGTCCTCAAAGAACCAGTTTCCTCTTCTTGTTTGATATACCCTCATCAGGGTGAGGGAGGGCAGGATAAGAAATCTGTTTTGGTTGTGGTGAGAGAACGTAGCCTGCATACAGGTTATATTGAGGGGGTCATTTAGAGCATCTCAGGTTGCTTCAGCAGTGCTGAGAAAGGAAAAGGAGAAACTCATCCACAGGATCACCACCAGCCTCAAAAGAAGCCAAAACAGTAGCTGGGCAGAGCAATAGCAGAGATGGGTGGATGTGGAAAAGCTAATACAGTGTGATGGGCTGGCTTGGAGCAGAGCAGCCACTGTTCCCAGAACAGGACTGGCAATCTTGGACCAACCCCAGAGCTGCAGGACAGGCAGAAACAGGATGAGTTTCCCCTCCCACTTCCCAGCTAACCTGAATACTGGAGGTAGAGCTGAGTGTGAACCCCAAATCTGCCTCTTGTTCATCCCTGGTAAAACCCAGCTCTGGCACAGTGAGACACATCCATTTCCAAGTGGCCCAAAAATACAGCTAAAACCAAGGGGATCAACCTGCTGCAGATGATAAATGTCTGCAGCCCTGCTCCCTTTCCTCTTTGACCAATACCATCAAACTAGTTTGAGCCTGCATGCTTGGGTCAGAAATTCAAGGACTTGCAAATTATCTTCTCTTGGTGGTCTTGGTGCAGTCTCTTTTGGGGCTGGTTGTCCCTCATGGCTGTAGGTGTTCCTTGCTGTGCAAAGTTTTGGGAGGAGGCATTCAAAGAGTGACTCATTATCTTGGCCCTAAAGAACTGGCTCTCTACAACTCCCTGGAAGGAGACTCTAGACAGGTGGGAGTTGGTCTTTTCTCACAGGTAACAAGTGGTAGGAAAAGAGGAAATGGCCTCAAGTTGCACCAGCAGAGATTTAGATTGGGTGCTAGGAACAATTTCTTCACTGAAAGGGTCGTCAAGCATCGGAATTGGCTGCCCAGGGAAGTGGTGAAATCACCATTGCTGGAAATGCTCAGAACACATGGTTTAGTGGTGGACCTTGCAGTGCTGGGTTAATGATTGGAATGGATGGTCTCAGAAGCTTTTTCCAACCTTAAGATTCTATGAATCTAATTAATCGAGTTGATCTTCTCATTTGAGTTGTAATTCCTCATCAGTTTGGTCCTTCTCAGTGAGCTGCCAGTGACTCCCCTGCAACCACTAGAGGGGGAAAAAGGTCTGTGGTGTTGGCAGGAGGAAGCTGTGCCAGGCACCAAACCACAGCTCCATCTCCCCAGGGATCTGGGACACGAGGACAAGTCTTGGCTCTGTTCAGCACTCAGTGGATTTCTGCTGTTTCTACAAATAGGGTCTGGGGATTTTTTTGAAGAAGACAGAGTGTTCAGGAAGGTTTAAGAAGTTGCTGTGATGTGATGGTTTCTCTGGTCCTTACAGGGCTCAATAAAGGACCAGCTAAAAGCTTACGGTGCTCTGACTGAGAATGTCACACGGAAGTACACCAGGCAGATCCTGCAGGGAGTCTTCTACCTACACAGCAATATGATTGTCCACAGGGATATTAAAGGTGAGTGGATAATAGAGAGGCTTCAGCTCAGCCTCCCCCTGCCCCAGTGCAAATCCTTGTGCACAGCATAGTGCTGGGATCTGCTCTTTGAAGTGTTTTTGCCCCTGCCCTTCACCAGATTGAACCATGAAAATCTTGGGCAAGCAGCTGAAACCAAAATCCTGGGCTGTTTTGTCTCTCAAGGGATTATTGCTGCCTGCCCTTACACATCTGAAAATCTGGTGTAACATAGCCAAGAACTGAGAAGCATTTGGAGAAGTCTGATGCTGCTTTCTTCTGTCTGTGGGTGGGCAGAATAATCTGTTGGCCCCCATGCACTGCTCATTTTTGGGAAACCTGCTGAATGAGGGGATGCTGGTGGGAGTCAACCCTCTTGGAGAGCAGCTGCCTTAGGAGAGAAGGGTTTGAAATTATGCTGAGTCCAGCCCCACCAGAGCCCTTTGGGCTCCCTCCTGCCTGGCTCTTTCCTTGTGCCCTTCCTGCTCTCCTCACTGTAGCCACTTCAGGCTCCTGCTTAATTTCTTGGGGGTCTTGTCTTTTCTTCTCACCCCAGGTGCCAATATTCTGAGAGATTCTGCTGGAAATGTGAAACTCGGAGATTTTGGGGCCAGCAAACGCATCCAGACCATCTGCATGTCTGGGACTGGGATTAAATCTGTCACGGGAACACCATACTGGATGAGCCCAGAGGTTATCAGTGGAGAGGGCTATGGAAGGAAAGCTGATGTGTGGTAAGGAACGCAGTAAAAACCCCACCACTGCTACTTAAATCAATCCTTTTGGGGAGCTGTAATGGGAGCAACAGGTATAGCTAGTAGCTGGAAGCAGTGCAAAGGATGGAAAATAGGAGATATGTGTTAGGATCAACTGTGCAGATATTCAGAGGAAACCTGTTGCAGCTAAGTTCCCATAACAGGAGCACTCAGAATCACAAGTTGCTTTTGGAAACTCTTGCCTTGTGTGAGTCTCACATCCAGCTCATCCCCATAACTGCTTTTTGATTCTGAAGAGCAGGTTGATAACAAAGCTCACTGAAAGACCTGTTGAGTTTTGTTGGCCCTAATTTTGGTTTCACTAAGCTCAGAGGCTCAGGGGATCTCCAGTGGCCTTCCCAAATCTGCTGCTGGATGTTTACATGTGGCTCAGGCACAAAGACAACTAAAATCGTTGGCTGCTTGTGGATGTTTTGATCTATGGAGGATGACAGATGGAACCTGGAGGAGTTGGGATGACACTAATCTTCCCAGTATGAGGAGGAAGCAATGTCTTCCCAGTGTGCTTTCTCTGGGTGCCCAAGCAAAGAGGGTCAACAAAAAATAATCCTTCCAAGAGAACCCTAATTGGGTGGGAAAACCTAGAAAGTCCTTAGCAGGTGTCCTTGTACCCCACATGGAGATACTCTGGCAGCTGCACTGGCTGATGGGAGGCAAATGTTTAATTTTTTAATTGTTTAGGATCAATAGGATAGGTTTAATTTTTTTTAGGATCATTCATGACTAGTAGTGGCAGAGTATCTCTGCTGAGACCAGGATTCTTGAGCAAGCCATGGGGAATCTCTCAGGCTCTTTGCTGCTCATCCCACCTGTCCCTTCTGAGGCACACCTCAGAGATGAAGTTGGATGTAGGCAAACATGTTCCATTCTGGCTCAGCTTCCCCGGGAACCACATGCCATTGCTGAAATGATGCTGTCTGAAGCTGTGCATGGGTCTCCCTTCAGGGGATGCTCCAGTGAGCTTTTATGAGACTTGGTATCTGCCAGTTAACTTAGTGTTTTCCTGAGCTTTTATGAAACTTAGTACCTGCCAGTTAAAGTGGGCAGAAAAGCCACCAGCTTTAAGGCAAGGCTCATGCATCCACTCCAAGCTGCGTGCCAAGGACCTGTGTGACCAGGGAGCTTCAGGGGACCAGACATTCCAGGGGGATGTGCCCATCTCCTGCAGGTTGGCTCCCTTTAGGCGGGCGCAGTCCCAGATCTGGTTAGACTGGAGCTGCAGTCTAACCCGGCCAGCCCTCACGCTGTGCTCGGCCTTGTTGCAGGAGCGTGGCCTGCACCGTGGTGGAGATGCTAACCGAGAAGCCGCCCTGGGCAGAGTTCGAGGCCATGGCGGCGATTTTTAAAATCGCCACGCAGCCAACCAACCCCCAGCTCCCCGACAGCGTCTCCAGCTCCTGCCGCAACTTCCTCAAGCAGATCTTCGTGGAGGAGAAGCGGAGGCCGACGGCCGAGGACCTGCTGAGACACCCTTTTGTCAACTGCGGGCTCTGAGCGCCGGCAGCGGGGCCGGGAAGCGCCGGCGGGAGCTCGGCCCTCAGCGGGGCTGTCCGGACAGTCCCTTCCCGCTCGCTGCTGCCTCGGCCCCGCCGCCTTGATGGATTTTCAAGCTGCGCTCGGGACTGTGGGGGATCCAGAGCGAGGGATTTCCCGGCCTGTGCTGCGGGTGGCTGGACCGCGGAACCTCCCTGCTGCCAGCGGTACCGGGGTCGTGCCCCCTCACCAAGTAACTGCTCTCTTGGGGGACGTGTGGCAAGCGGGAAATGTCCCCCCAGCAAGGGGGAAATGTCCCCTCAGCACGGCGGCGGTGCTGGCGGCATCCCCAGGACCGGTGGGGGAATGGGATGCCCAGTGGCCATCACCACCTTTCGCAGAGGGACAGACAGGGCCTTCAGCCAAGCCGGAGGAGATGATCCTCAGACCACAGAGTCGGGGGGACCCGGGCGTCCCCGTTCACAAGGGGACCGACCCCGCTGGAGCAGCCGGCGGGGCGGCGTTTCACACTGTCCTGTGCCTTACGCGGTTACAATCAAGGAGTGATGCTCGGCTCGGATCTGGTGTGAGGATGCAGCAGCCGTGTTGACTTTGCCTTGGCTCGTCTGTGTGTGTGTGTGTGTGTGAGTCTGGGAAGCAGGGGGTCTTCTCGGGGTGCAGGAGGTCTCTGCTGGGTACACCCGCGGACGGATGCCCGGGACCCCTGCCGTGGGCTGAGGGATGGGTAAGTGATGGTGGTGATGTTTAAATCAGGATTCAGGTGGGAGCTGAAGGGAATCTCAGCAAGGAGGGCTCTGCTCACAGCCACAGTTCTGCTGAGCCGTGTCCGCGCTGCTGCGCTGGAGGAATGCCATGGTGTTCTGGAAGTGGAGCTACAGGGAGAGCCCAGTGCATCTCTGTGAAACCCAAGAGAGTGCCTAAAATTAGGCAGAGAGTGCTGATGCCTGTGAATCTGGGTGTGTTCTCCTCTGGGCACCCCTCCTCTGTTCCTTATGGGCCATCCCCGGGTACAGGGAAGGGGAGCATCACTTCTGTGGTGGTGCCCAGGGGAGCAGCTGCAGGATAATGGAGCCCCAGACTGGGAAAGTGCAGCTGCAGCAGGGGAGGGCAGCTGGAAGCAGATTCCTTCCCTCAGTAGGTTTGAAGTTGTATGAGAAAACGGGCCAGTCAAAAGCAGAGCTGGGCTACAGCCTCTGACCAGCACTGCCCTGCTGGAAAACGTGGGCAGGAAGCACGCACAGAGTCCCTGGAAGCTGGTTAATTAATTGGTCAGTCAGATTGTGGGGGAGTTTGGGATTAATTAATTGCACCTTCCCACCTCCCCCTTCTCTACTGCATTAGCTGTTTCCACCGACTCAGCAAAGGGTCCAAAAAGCAGTTCCCAGGAGGCTCCATCCTCAGGCCAGTGTGTCAGACACAGGCTTATTTTAATGCTGGTTTTCAGTGAAAATGAAAAGTGTTGCTTAGACTTGAGAGGAAAGTGACAAATTAGTTGTTTGTGTGAACACATCCTTGAATTCTTCCATGTGGGAGAGATCAAGGCTTTGCCTCACTGGTGTGGTGGTGAGAGCATGTCCATGTCCTCAGCTCTGAACAGAGAAGCAAGATTTAGGAGGCTGCCCAGTGTAGCTGTGGATGTCCCATTTCTGGAAACATTCAGGGAATATGGCTTGGAGCAACCTGGTCTAGTGAAAAAATGTCCCTGCCTCATGGCAAGGGGTTGGAATGAGGTGAGCTCTAAGGTCCCTTCCAACCCAAACCATTCAAGATCTCATGATTTTAAGAATTATTTCAATAAAAAAAAAAATAAACAGTGAGTATTAGGGCAAATTAAAATAATACCTAAAAGAATTCCCTATAAATCTCTCTGAAAGCTACCGAGGCCGTTTATTCCAGGCCAGGTTCCAGGGAAGCTGTGGGCAGCACTGGGGCTTCTGTCAGTCACCCATGGTGGTGATGGGCAGCTCCCCATGGGGAGGGGGAAAAGTCTCCTTTTGCTGAGGGGGATGAAGAATTTTATTCTGTGAATAGGACCAAATCCATCAGTCTGATCAGTAATATGGGATGGATGGAAACAAACACAAGGGAAAAAAAAAATCAGCTTTGTCTGGGAATGGGTTTGGCAGAAGAGGGTAACAAAGTGTGTGTTCACCAAAGCTAAAAAAAAAAATAATCAAAAATCAAAACAATTTTTAAGCTGTTTTCTCTTCTTTCATTAAATCTGTTTGGTTTGGGTTTTCTCAGCCCTTCAGTGGTGGGAGGGTGCTTCCCTTCTTTCCAAAGATTTGAGAGCCAAAGGGGGATCCTGGCTGCCCCAAAATGCTCCCAGGGCCCTCAAACCACCCAAATCCTCCCGTGGATGGATGTGGTGAGTGTGAGTGTGAGTGTGAGACACTCCTCAGGTGCCTTTGCCTTTCTGGTTTGTAAAACCCTTGCAGTGTTCTGATGTACAGAATGGAACTAGGAAAAGCAAATGGAATTATTCTACCATGTAAAGTCATTTTCTGTTGGTTTGGTTTGGTTTTATTTTATTTTTTGCCCGTAGCGGGCCCTGTGGCTTTCCCTGTACATCCATGGAGGAATTAATTCCTTTTGGGGCTTGGGCTGGGGAGGACATGGGAACAGGCTGGCCAGGAGAGGTGGCATCACCATCCCTGGAAGCGTGGATGTGGTTTGGTGACGAACATGGTTGGATTTGAGGATCTTGGGGGTCTTTTCTAACCTTAATGATTCATGAGCCTGCATTCCTGCTGCCTGTGCCCTGCTCCCAGGTACAGCCCCTTCCCCCAGGGCAGTTCCCAGCTCGGGTGGGGGGCACAGGGAGCATTGGTGTCACCATCCCGGGGGCAGTGACAAAGAGGTGATGGTTCCTGGGTTTTTCTGGGGCAGGTGGATCTGTGCAGCCTCTCTGAGCCGATGGTTCTGCGTGTCCCTTTGTCCTGACGTTCCGCCTTGGACTCGCAACGCACAGGATTTTCTGCTTCTGGACTTCATTTTCATTTATTTTAATTAATTTATTTTTATTTTAACATTTTGAGTAATTTTTTTATTTCTATTTCATCTTCATTTTCCCACTCCTTCCCTCATTTTCTCTGCCCTATTCCTTTCTCCCCCCTTTTTTCCTATTCTCCTTTTTTCTTCCTCTTTTTCTTCCTTTTTCTTCCTTTTTCTTCCTTTTTTCCTTCCTTTTTTCTTCCTTTTCTTCCTTTTTCTTCCCTTTTTCCTTCCTTTTTTCCTTCCTTTTTCTTCCTTTTTTCTTCTTTTTTCCCCTTTTTCTTTTTTCTCCTATTTTTCTTCCTTTTTTCTCCTATTTTTCTTCCTTTTTTCTTCCTTTTTTCTTTTTTCTTATTTTTCCTCTTTTTTCTTCTTTTTCCTTTCTTTTTTATATTGTTTTTCCTTCTTTTTCTTCTTTTTTTAATCTTTTTTCCCCTTCTTTTTCTTCTTTGTTTTTCTTATTTTTTCCCGTTTCTTTTCCCTTTTTAAAATTTTTTTCTTCTTTTTCATTATTTTTAGTTTTCCTTTTTTCGGCCCTTTTATTTTCCTTTTTTCCCACCTTCCGCCCCCCCCCTCTTCCGCCCCTCTCCCCTTCTGTTTTTCTTCTTTCCCTTTTTTCCCCTTTTCCCCTCCTCTTTCCCTTTATTTCCCCTTTTTATTTTTTTGGTTTTTTGTTTCTCTCGGTCGGGGGCGGGGCCATGTAAATGAGATGGGCGTGGACATTCAAATGAGCAGGGCGTTTGCCCAGCTCTCCTATATGCAAATGAGGGGGCGGGGTCACGCCGAGGAGCGAGCCGCTGCGGTGACAAGATGGCGGCGGCGGCGCGGCGGGCGCAGCTGGTGCTGGGGCACTTGGCCGGGGCCGCGCCGGGCCCGGGGGCCGCCCCCAGGGCCGTGCCCTGCTCCGGGGGCCCCCCGCGGGCCAGCAGCCCCGACGATGTGGTGGTGGTGCACGGCCGCAGGACCGCCATCGGCCGCGCCCGCCGCGGCGGCTTCAAGGTACGGCCCGGGGGACCCTGCCCGCCGGGTCCCCGCAGGTGCTTGGCGTCCCCATAGGGAAAGGGGTCCCGCTTCTTCGCCTCCCCTCCCTGCAGGCCTGGTGCTGGACCCCTGCCTGGCCCCCAGACACCGCTGCTGTGCTCTGGAAGAGTAAATCCCAGCGCTGTGTGATGGTTTCAGTGCTGGGGGTGGCAGCGCCGTGGCATCCCCCGGAGGAGTCGGGCGTTGTGTCCCCAGCTCCCCGGGGAGCGATCTCAGCCCGCTGTCACCTGCCCTGCCACACGAGCAGCCGCCGTGTCCCTCACCTGCACAGCCTGGCACGGACCTGCCACCCTTCTGGAACCTGCTTCTCCCTGGGTGGCACCCACAGAGTCCTGGGAAAGAGCACGGTGCCAGGCGGACCCCAAAGGTTCCTTGTCATCCCTCCAAAGAGGTCTCCATGCTGGCGGTGCTCCCCACCAGCTGAGGGGCCACCCCTGCTTCTTTCACAAAACAAATGGAGAGGCTCCATTCGCTGGCTCTTGTCACATAAATCTGTAGTGGTGTGATTCTGAAGGCCCTTCAGAGCATGTTCCTATAAACCCAAGGAAGGTGAGAAAGCAGCCTGTGTGTTGCAGTGCCTGAAGGAAACCTGGGGTAAAAACATGCAGATAATTCTGCTGTGGTAGGAAAACAACAACCACAGTGAGCTGAGAAATGGAGTAAAGCTGCCTTAGCACCACTGGCCAGCCTCTGAAGAGGTCTGAGCTGAACTGGTGACAGGGCCCTTGCTGGTGTTCACTGGTGGTGCTGATCCCCTGTGCTTTCAGGATACAACACCTGATGAGCTGCTGGCTGCTGTGATGACAGCTGTCCTTCAGGATGTCAACCTCCGTCCTGAGGTGCTGGGAGACATCTGTGTGGGTGAGTGACAGCCTCTGCCTGGTGAAGCTCCTGGTGTGGGCAGTTCTGTGGGACAGGCTCCCTGTGTGGGATACTCACAACTCTCAGGGGGCTGGGTTAGTGTGTAGCATTTGGTATTCCTGCCTGTCCTGTTGGTGGTGGGGCTCTGATCTGGTGATGGGAACATCCCTTCAGTGCCTGTGAGGGGAGTGCAGCCAATTGACTGGAATTGTGTCTTTGCACTCAGGGAATGTGCTGCAGCCTGGAGCTGGTGCCTTGATTGCAAGAGTTGCACAGTTTCTAAGGTAAGCTCCCAGCCAGACTCAGGTTCCTCCTCTCCTCACTGAGCCATGGAGCAGCTCAGGGTCAGAGATTGCAGTGAGGCTCAAGCACTCCCAGGAATTACAGCAAATCACCTTCTGCCTAGAAACTGGACTTTGATTGAGCTCTGAGAGCGCTGATGGCACAGAGACAGGGAGGCAGCTGAAGCTGTTTGATCTGTTTGTGCTGCCTGAGTTGGGCTTCTGAGAGGGACATGGTGTTCTGTGGGCTCCCAGCTGTGCTCTCTGAGGCTGCACCTCTCTGCTGAGTCTGGTCCCCAAACCATGGATGGGCTCAGATTTTTCTGTTATTGCTCAGTGCAGGTCAGTGGCTTGTACTGAGCTGGATCCCAGATTCCAGATATTTCTGCTGGGTCCCAGATTCCAGATATTTCAGTCAGTGTCTGTTGCCATTGTTTGCTTCAATCACTGCACAACTACCACTTTAGAGGGGTGCAGGCACAGCCTGCCATAGCTTATGAATGTTGCAGAACTTTTCAAGTTTCTGGCCTGGGTCAGAGCTCAGGATCTCCACGGCAGGCTCTTGCTTACAGAGCACCTTCTGAAGACACATCCACGGGGAAACAGCACTTGGAACCACTTGCAAATGAAGTGAAGAAATTATCTTTGAACTTTGCTTTCCCTTGGTCCAGGACCAAATAGATCAAGAAGTGGATAAAGGGATGTGCCTGGAACTTGAGGGTTAAAGTTTAATCAGGTGGATTAATGCACTCCTTAGAGCTTTGGGTTGTTGTTGTTGGTTTGTATCACTGAGTCTTTGCCACCATTCCCTTGTTTTCCAGTGGCATTCCAGAGACAGTGCCATGCTCCAGTGTGAACAGGCAGTGCTCCTCCGGGCTGCAGGCCATTATCAACATAGCTGGTAGGTGTTGTGGGCACTGGCATCACAGTCAGTCCACCCAGAGCCTGTCCCATCCCAAGGGCTCAATGCTCCTCTCCTCCAGTCTCTCTGAGCAGTAAAACAGTGATAATGTCTTGTGCTGTAGGGAATTGGCAGTATGGTTAGCTAAATACTTTTATATCCTTGAGTGGCCGAGTTTATCCCTAGAGAAGTGACTTTTGGTTTTCTGGGGATAAATTCCACCATCACCTCCACATCAGGCAGCTTCCAGAAGGGTCCTTCCAGTTCTCTCTGGCCCCATGGTAGCCTTCAGCCCCATCAGCTCCTTGGCCTGGCTCTCTGGCAGGCAGGAGGGTGAGAAAATGCCCATTTGGCTCTTCTGGGTGCTCAGGTTTGGAAGCTGTAGCTGGGCTGGAAATGCTTTTGCTCCTGATGACAGTAAGAACATTTGTGCACTGCTGTTACAGGTGGCATCCGAAATGGATCGTATGACATTGGCTTGGCCTGTGGGTAAGGAAGTATTTTCATAGTGTTTGCTTAGGCTTCCTGAAGGTAACACTCTGTCCCTGTGCAATAGCCTGCCAAAAAAATCAGCTTTTTAGCTAGTCTGCAGTTAACTAGCCTCTTGAAAAACCAGCAGCTCTCTTGGATGAGGAAGTTAATATCCTATGTGTGCTAATGAGTGTTCTGCAGCCTTACAGGATCTGTTCTGTGCTGGACAGACGAGCTGTTCTGTGCTTCAGTCCTAACATCACAAGCAATGCTTATCTTTTGGAGGATTATGTAAACATTAGGTTGGTTTTGGGGAAATACTAGTGACCACATACACATTGACTTCAGAAGAAGGAGTGGAAAAAAAAATTATTCAGTAATCCTGAGGCCAAAATACTGGGTTTCTCTTTTTTATCACTTATTACTCTAATCTTTCATTAATTATTACTGCACACAGTAATGTCCACCAAGATGTTGTGCTTAAAGGGACTGATGGCCTTTGCACCCCTGGGTGTGCCAGACACTGGGTTTTGCTCTGGGAAGCTGTCTGGCCTCTGACCTGCAGAAGACATACAATCCATAAGTTACAAATAGCTTTTGGGAGCTGGGTTTATCCCAAGTCTTACTTTTCCAGAGTGGAGAAACCCTGGATTCAAGCATAAAAGACAGTAGCTGGGGTTTCACTTACTAAAAACCCAGTCCTGTGCCTTCTTTCAGGAGCAGATGCAGCTGAAGTCAATTATGGAGTGTCCCATCTTAGAGCTGGTTTAAATTGCTGATAGCACTTAATACAAGCTGCCTTACTTTCTGCTTGTCTTTCATTTTCCAGGAGTAGTTTCTTTGTTATTTATTCTTCATAAAGGTATTTGTGAGGTGCAGAGTAGAATCCAAACCCTCTTCCCACTGTAGGCTTCAAAATCTAGATTGACCTTACAAAAGCTCACGAGTCTTAACTGATGGCTTTGTATTTCTGCAGTAAATTTGAGTATCTTCAATGTGTTAATTCATCTGTGGGTCAAAGATTGCACCCTGTGGGATCCATGTCTGAAATTCTTTGTATTGTGAAACACAAATGGTGCAATTCACTGAAATCTCTTTGCCATGGTTTGCTCAATACTTCTTTTTCTACTGCCAACCTGTTCTTAAGATCTGATTTTTTATGTATTTTTATGTCTGTTGGCAGTCTCACTGAAAACTCCAGCCCTTGTGCCTCATTATGTTTAAGGACAAGTGTGCCAGAATCATAGGAATTCCTTCCTAGCTGTGGAAACACAAGAAATTAACTGCTGACATTGGTATCCTGTTCTAGTGAAGCAAGAACCAATTGAGTCTCACAATCTGTTTTCATTTCATGATAATTCTTAAATTGATGATTGAAGAGATTCTGCCTCAGCCAGTTCCTAATTAGCAGCTGTGTTTCTGTGGGATAATGGGAAAGCATGTTGTCAGGATACTGAGTTTTGATCAGTTTTAATGGAGCAATTCAAATTTTTCTTGTGTTTAGAGTGGAAACAATGTCCCTCAGAAGTGCAAATAACCCTGGTGATATCAGTTCCAACATGATGGATAACCCCAAAGCTCGAGACTGCCTTATTCCTATGGGGTAAGTGTTTCCCCCTCCCACAGTTTAGGGGTTTTATAGATGCTCTGTCTCCCCAGTGACCACAGTTACAAATCAGCCTGAATGTGGTGAGCTTGGAGCTGTGTGTGTTGGCATCCTTGGCTGTGGTGGAAGATTAATGACATGAAATGGGGGGAAATCATTAACTCTGATCAGAGATTTTCTTGTCTTAAGATCAATGGGTTGTTGAGCAAGGAGAACAGATTTGAACCTTGTTCTGGTCCTAGATTTGATTCAGGATTAGCTTCTGCCAGCAATTCTAAGTTGAGAAGGCAGCAGTTGGTTTTTAAACTAAAGCCATTGCTTATACCTCGTGTGATCTTAGTAGAAGCCAGTGCAGCTCCATTAGATGTGTTCTTGGAATAACTCTTTGATGTTTTTTCCCCAGAATAACCTCAGAAAATGTGGCAGAGAAGTTTGGAGTTTCCCGGAAGAAGCAAGATGCCTTTGCCTTGGCTTCCCAACAAAAGTAAATGCTGGTTTTGTTAGTCTTTTGGGGTTTTTTAACCTTTTAGTTAAGAAATAAGAACAGCTAGAAAACACACTGCTACTTCCTGGTGAAGTGCAGCCTTTGTGTTGCCTTCCAGTCCTTAATAGTGAGCAAGGAATCCTGAGAGGGTCCAGCTGAAATTCAGTGCCTGTGCAGGGTTGTGTGTGATGGTGGAACTGCAGTCCAGAGCTGTGCTGGGATTGTGGGACTGATCTCACACAAATATCACTGGGCACACAGACCCTGAGCAGTGAGTGCCCTGCTTGTTCCAGCATCCAAAGGTCCCTGCCCGTGGCAGTGGGGGTGGAGCTGGATGAATCTTTAGGGTTCCTTCCAACCCAAACCTTGCTGTGTTTCTGTGACAGAACCTCAGGGAGGTTTCTGGAACGAGTGTCTGGTGAGGTATTTTCATAGTGGCTGTGGCTCAGAATCACTGGAACCTGAACGTGGGAGCAGCAGCAGGAGGAGCCTTTCCCATGAGGGAATAGTTGAGTGTGGCTGTTGGTAGAGAACTGCTGAGCTTGTAAGAAGAGTGGCTTGTCCTCACTGCAGGTGTTTGGCTGTGAGTGAGTCCACTCCTACCTCTGATAACCTTCCTCTGGGTTAAATCACTGCCAAAATCAACTGACCCTGGAATCCGTGGGGCTGTGCTGCCAGAGCAGTAGCAGGTGATAGGGTAAAGTTCCTGCCAGCAAAGAGTTAAATTTGCTTTCAGAGCTCTGTTTAAGCATCAGCCTGGTCCAATTATTTATCTAACACAGGAAGCCACTGCACAGGGTAGTTAACCTTTAAATTCCAGCCCTGCTGCTCAGGGAACTTGGCATGCCAGCCTTTCTCACTGCCATGGAGCTGATAACCAAAAGGGTATGTGAATGTGATCCTCATGCTCACATGAGGCAAAGGGTGACTTTCTGGCCTTGGTCTCAGGATATCTGTGGGGTTACTGACCTGTTCTTCAGCACTTTGCTCCAATTCTCACTGACCTGGGAGCATTGAATGTTTTCATTTTTTATGAGTAAAAGTGCAAAGTGATGAAGGAGTAAAACAAGCTTTTAGTCTCCAATTTGTATTCTCTGTGAAGGGTTTACCTCTGGAAGGTAAATCTAAATAAGCTCTGCTTTGAAAGGTTTAAATTACCTTGCTGATAGGAAAGATTAAATATATGTGGCTTGAGTTAATTCTGGTTTAGTTAATTGTATTCTGTCTGGTCATGACAGTTGTTGACTGCTGCTAGTTCAAGGGTTCATTTATCAAAATCACAACTGTGATGTGGCTGTACCCCTGAAAAAAATAAAACTTCATGTTGGGGGCTGGGGTGGTCAGTCAGGCACAGAGGTGTTGATGGGAACAGAATGGGGATATTGCTCTGAAATGAGTGATCTTGTGACTCACATTTGGGGACAATGCCCATAATGTTGATGTAGAGGTAAAACGTTTGTCTTTCCATGAATGAAAGTAAAAATGTGCCTGTTGTCTTGACCACCACTTGGCGATGATGGACCAAATCCCTCCTTAGTTCATTCTCTGTCTAACTGCTTTCCTTCACTTTAGTTCTCCTGCATTTCACCTCCAAAATATCTTAACAAACTTTCATATTTTTTTTTTTTTTACCAGAGCAGCAAAAGCTCAGCAGATGGGACTGTTTAAAACAGAGATTGTTCCAGTCAAGACCACTGTGGCAGATAATGAGGGCAACAAAAAAACAATCACTGTGCACGAAGACGAAGGGATCAGGCCCTCCACAACACTGGAAGGCTTGGCAAAGCTGAAACCTGCCTTCAAAGAGGATGGAAGCACTACAGCAGGTCAGCTGAGCTGTTACATTTGCACTGTTCTTGTGGTTTACCTGCCTTTACCAGAACAAAAAGCATGTTAATAGGTCTCTTCCAACAGGGAATGCCAGCCAGGTCAGCGATGGAGCAGCTGCTGTTCTCCTGGCAAAACGCTCCAAGGCAGCACAGCTGGGACTGCCAGTGCTGGGGGTGCTGAGGTCCTTTGCTGTGGTGGGGGTCCCACCTGATGTGATGGGCATAGGGCCGGCCTATGCCATCCCTGTTGCTGTGGAAAAGGCAGGTAAGAACCATTTGACATTCAGGCAAAGCAGATCAGACTCCTCAGAATGAGATTTAAGGTTATATTATTCAAGCTTGTGCAGCTGTTGGCCCCAGTGAACAGTGAAGATAAATCTGAAACCTTAAAAGAGGTCCTGCCTCAGATTGTTGCAATGCTTTTGCCTTGTACTGGTGTGTAAATTATAATTCACTCACCTTTGAGAAGCTCAGGAGCAAATCTCTGCACAGACTCAACAAGAGTTGACATGTGGCAAGTGATTCAGTGTTCACTTAGTGCTGTTTTCTCTTTATCATGGCCAGTGTGTAGGGGGTGATTTTGTGTTTGGTTTTTGATGGATTTTTCTCTTTACAATTTTGTCATCTTATTAGGTTTTTACCACACTTACTGGGTTAAACAGCTTTTGTAGCTATGAGCTGATTTAGCCTGGCCTGGCTACAGTCCCATGCCCACCTGTAGCTTTATCTTCCACTCTCCAAACACCCTTCAATCCTTAATCCCTCTGCAGAGAAATCACACTTAATCTGAGGAAATTTGGCAGATTCAGTGACACAATACCATAAACTGTGGTGTTTTGCAGTCTTTAGACATTGCTGTACATAAACTTGTTCAAGTGTAGACACCCCACATGGAGCTGAAGTTTCTCTTTCTTAGATGGAGTAGAACTGGAATTCGTAGAGGGAGGCTGTCAGGCAATTACTCTTTGATATAGTCATGAGGCAAAAATATCTCCTTTTAACTCCTGACTTTTCTGGCCCATAGGTCTGACTCTGAATGACATTGATATATATGAAATTAATGAAGCCTTTGCAAGCCAGGTGAGTGAGCATCATGTTTGTGTTGCTGCATTGCTTGGCAACTGAGCGTATTTCAGCTCGGTCTCCAGGTTAAGATTTTTAACTTGTTCCACATATTACGTCTTCAGCCAAATGTTAATAACATGTGCAGACTATTTTCTTTTTCCTTCAAATAAAAATGAACAGGACATTGCTTATACAGCTTAATATTAGAAAATAAAAAGTCCACTAAGAAAGAATTGGCTATTGTGCTCTCATACCAACTTGCAACATCTGTTTCACCAGGGCTGTGATTTATTGTCAGGTTGTCTGAATGTGTGTGGGCTCAGTTTGAGATGAAGTGGACAGTTTTAGCTCACTTCTCTGCCTTGGATCAGTTCCACTCCTGTCCCCTGAGAACGATGGAGTCAGGCCTCTGACCTGGAGGAGGAGAGCTGAGAACTAAGACAAGAGCATCTCCATGAAATGGTTCCCTGTGTCTTTGCAGGCTGTGTACTGTGTTGAAAAGCTGGGCATTCCCATGGAGAAGGTGAACCCCCTGGGAGGAGCCATAGCACTGGGACACCCCCTGGGCTGTACCGGTGCTCGGCAGGTCGTCACTTTGCTCAATGAACTGAAGCGCCGAGGGAAGAGGTGAGTGCTGAGCATCAGCACTGGCCTCACACCTGCTGCCTGTGCAGCTCCCACAGGCTCAGGGGTCACCAGTTGGGTTAAGTTTCCTTCATCCCTTGGATGAGGTAACTGTCCCTTTGGGTTAAGCTTTCTCCATCCCATGGATGGCTTTGAACCTGCATTAGCCGGTGCTCTCCTAGCGAAACAGGAGAGCAGCAGAATTTATTGTATTCTTTATTTGTTGTATTCTTTATTTTTATTTTTTCTCCTAAATGATATAAACCTGAGCTGCCTTTTTCCTTAATTGCACATGTTCTTTGTTTCAGAGCATATGGAGTCGTGTCCATGTGCATTGGAACTGGCATGGGCGCCGCAGCCGTGTTCGAGTACCCGGGGAAGTGAAGTGAGCTCCAGTGCTGACACAACAACACCACAGCTCCCTCTCTGCCTTCCCTAGGCATAGCAAGTGATTGCCACTGAAATCAAGTGGGTTCTGGGATTTGTTACTAGATCTACAAATTTTAGGCAGAAATTGTGAAGTAGAATTAACGGTGCAGTTCTGCGAAGAAGGTGAGGAAATGCAAAACTGGCACATGGCTTCCTGACATAACAAATTAGCTCAGCTGAAATTCAACTACAGCCCCTGGTGTGGTGATTATGAATTAACATTTTTAATTTAATTGATCTCTTTACTCTGTGAATATTACCAGAGGGAAATAGTTCATGGGACAGTATTTTTGTATGACAAATTGGCAAAGAGAGTCACTCAAAATGAAGACATCAGTCCACCTGGAAAGACTTTTCCAGCATTTCCTTAAAAGGATTCACCATTTTGTAAGAAGTTTAAAAGAGCTTGTTTTGAAGCAAAGACTTGACATCCTTGCCTTTACGCCTGTGTCTGTCCTAGCCCAATCTGAAGTTGTTTGTGTCTTAAATTGTCCCTGCACTGGAGGATGGGCTGCAGCTCGCTGCTGGTGGAGCTGCTCTGAAGCCTCTTTCCAGAGGGGGAAAGTGGAAGGACTGGAACATAATTTCCACAGGAAATGCCTGCATGGAAAGGTTCTCTTGAATTGCTAGAAGCCAGGATTTGGATGTGGCCATTCCTTCTTCTACATGTCTGAGTGTCAGTTTGTGTGACTCCAAAGACAATCTTGTGCTTAATCATATTTACTTACCTAACACAAAGCAAATTGCAGCATTACATTTACTGCAAGCACTACCTGAATATCAGTGACAGCTCAGTCCTTCAGTGCTAATACAAGCATGTTCTGTCTTGTGTCTTTTGTCATCCCTTATTTCTTCTCTTGTCTGAACAGGAAGATCACTGAAACTCAGCTTGAAAAAGAAATTTACTCATTGCTGCTTTGAATTTGTAACAAACTGAAGTACTTTGTCCTGACTTTTGTTTTTGCACTTAATAATACAATTGGGTTCTTGCAATACATTTGTTTCCTTTTTATGATGATTTTTAGTTGAAGGTCATGATGAGTTAGAGCTCTTGTTATTTTCACAATCCCATGCTGTAGCCTGTCTCACCCAGCAATCTAAGGCCCTGTTTTAGAGCCAAAAAATTGAATTATTTAGAGGGGATAATGAGCCATTTACAAAAGCCTTTTATTTAATGGAAGTGGAAAATTTAACAGATTCAGAATTGGGAATTCCAGTGACCTTTAGCTGAAATAATACTAAAATAGTTTAAAGAGAAGTGAGAGTAAATGGGAACCATGTGGGGGGAAAGAATGAAAGGGAAGAAGGGCTCCTCCCTCTGTTGCTGAAGGGGATGTTCTCAAGGCCCAAGCATGATGAAACACACAGGTTGGTAATTTTCCAAGGAGACCAAGGAAAGTTCTCTCTTCCCCTTTTCATGTAAGGCACTGAGAAAACAGCCTGGGAAATGCTGGCCTATTCACCAATTCTTGTTTTATTATGTGTCAATGTCCATTTTAATGTCAAACAAATAAATGAGGCAAAACAAAAGTTACTTTAAGGTATAAATAGTCTTTAGCTGTGATTCAAGGCATGTTGGGCTCTGCAGAGGGCTTTGGCCTGACTTACACAGGTGCTTTGCAATATAAAACCTTGTTCTGAGCCTAAAGCTAAGCTTACCACAGCAATAAAAGTAACAGTACAGAGTGTGATTACGACTGGTTAAGGTACCATGAGAATTTCTTTCCTCATAACCTAAATTTTCATTCTGCTGAAGTTCCAGTCCCCACTAAAAACAACAGAAGTGGATGAAAATACAGGCTCAGCTGCTGGCACATCTGCATCTAACCTGTTACCTTGACATTTGTCCCACATTGTCCTGCTTAATGCACCTTCTCACGGTGCACTCCTCGCCCTGTGAGGTGCAGCTTGCAAGGCTTCTCTTCCAGCATTCCAGAAATGGTCACAATAGCTTCATAGTCAGTGTTGCTCCTAAAATGCACAGCAGAAAGTTGAGTTGCAGCTACGTGTAGTCCTGTGTTTAGGGATGAGATGAAAAGGGGAGAATGGTGTCTAAGAATGCTCCAAGGCACAAGCACAGGTCACTGATGTTAGTGCCAAGTCCACAGGGCTGTGTTCCACCGATGTGCAAGATGTGGTGTTTGAAAAGGATGTTCAGGTCTGTGCCTGAAGACACTGGATTCATGTTTGAAAGAATGAGAATATCATCCTACTTGTGAAATTCTGGTTCAGGTGAATAAATGAAATGAAGCTCTGCTGGGAGCAGGACACCTGCACTGCCTTGATGTGAAAGCTCCTCACTTTGACAAAGTTTGAAGGGAAAGGTTTCTGTCACTCCCCTGAGACAAGGGGCAGTCAGTGGAGCCCAAATTGTAAATTAACATCAAAAAGGTTGCAACAACTCTAGTTTTGCACCAAGTTGAAGAGCATTATTTGCCCAAGGCTAATGCCACTCAGTGCTCCTGAGACTGCTCCTGTGAAGGATTTCTCTGTGTCCAAGTGCCAGCTGTTGTAAGGGCCTGAGGCAAAAGCCTGTTCTGCCAATCTTTGTTTTTTCCTTCTCACAAAACAATTCCTCTGCAGAAAGACCATGGATTTGGGGAGGTGAATTATTAAAATCACTTCACACCTTGCATATAATTATCTCCTACTGCCACATTGATCCCACACTGCTGTGTTGGGAATTCTTCCTATGGAGCCTGACAGATAAGCTGGTTGCTATGCAGCAACATCTTTGCTTTCTGGTATTTCCAGGCATTTTCAGCCATGCTGATTAGTGCATTTGTCAGACAAAAATAAGTGCTTCAGGCATATTCAGCAGAATTCCAGAAAAATTTAGGCATTCAGGAGCCTGGGGAGGCTTCTGGACCACCGTGCTCCTGTAAGTAGGGACAGTTTAGTGCAGCTGCTCAAGGCTCCATCCCACTGAAGTATCAGTGACTCCAGTGATGGAAATCACTGGATTGTGTTCCAAGGAGATGGGAGTTATGGCAATAACTCACCTACAGTTTGCCTGAAATTTCCCTGTCAGCAGTTTTCAGAGCTCACTGAAATCACTAGGACAGACTTATTTTAACTTGCTGCCACCATGTGATAACCTCCAAAAATACTTTGTAATGGAATTTTTTTTTTTTTACATTACCTGTATTTCCCTAATCAGAGCAAAGAAATTAAAAGTCTTTGCATCATCACAGAATCATGGGATATTGTGGGTTGGAAGACACAGCAAACCTCATCTTGTTCCAAGCCCCTGCCCTGGCAGGAAGACCTTCCACTAGAACAGGTTGCTCAAAGCCTCATCCAGCCTGGCCTTAAACAATTCCAGAGATGGGGCATCCACAGCTTCTCTGGGCACCCTGTGCCAGGGCCTCACCACCCTCACAGTGCAAAAGTTCTTTCTAATCTAACTCTGCCCTCTGGCCATGTGAAGCCATTCCCCCTTTCCCATCAGTCCAGGCCTTTGTCCCAAGTCCCTCTCCAGCTCTCATGGAGCCCCTTTAGGCACTGGAAGGAGCTCTGAGGCTCTTCAGAGCTTTCTCTTCTCCAGGCTGAACAACCCCAGCTCTCTGTGAACAGCACAATTTCAGTCCTGTTTAACTGTACCTTGCAGCAAAGCTGATCTGCAGAATCTCTCTGGTAGGTGCCTCCCCTTCACGTGCCTCCAAAATGCCTTTAGTTGGGAAGATGGAAAATACTTGCATGGCCTTAGGGCTTTTCTGTTCATCTGCAGTGGAAGGGGCAAATGTCAAACAAAGCCATACAACACCCTCTGTGTAAGTGTATACTGCAAGTAGCACTCATGGCAATGCATCTCTTTGCTGAGCAATTAATCCATCATGTCTCACACTGTCAGAGTTTCTGTGCATGTGCCCAGACTGTTCTCATCTTCTAATCAAGGGCAGTGATCAGTGGTCTCCACATTGAAATAATAAGGCCCTGATCTTCTTTCCTCTAGAGCCCATCTATTATTAACAGCATTAGGCTCATGCTCAAACTGAACCTATGAGGAGCTGCTGCTTCTTGTTGCCCCTCAGGACTAATTTATAAATGAGCAGAGCATGTCCAAGAGGGCTGAGACTCAGTCTTTTGGTTAGATGTGGAGTAACTGCTGAAATCAGTAGTGGTACAACAATATCAAAAACAGGAGGGGAAAGATAGGAGGGGAAAAGCCCACATAAGTGAGAACAAAAGCAGACCATGTTTGCACCTAGGATCATCACATATTGCATCTATATTGAGTGAGTGCATGCAGTCTTAGTGAAACTCTGCAACAAGGAAATCAATTGCAAAACCAGAATACCCAGCAAAGCAGTCCAGTAGCTTCTGCAGCCACTCCTGTTATACAGGAAGACATGTTCTGTCTTGGTCTGTGCAACAAAGCAGGTCTGGAAATCAACCCTGTCACAGGAGAGCTCCAGGACTGGAACAGTGAGGTAGGCAGTCACTGGGACCAGCTGCAAAACAGGGGAAAGGGAAAAGACAACAAAACCCACCTCAGTTTTATAGAGCTTTAGTAATTCCTGCTCTAGCTGGATCATTCTTAACCCCAACCAATGAATCAAGAGTTTTTGTTGTGTTCTTTCACAATGGAGTCAATTCCCATTCTACAGCCTTGAGTGAATTAAGTTGTTGCTTGTGTGTTACTTTTTTTGGGACAGGTTTTCAAAGCAGACACTGGTCTTAATGAAGTAATACAGAGTGAACAGTCTCATTTGTTTTTAGGGTTTTCTGTGAAGCTGCAGACATTACAGCATCTCCTGGTCCCTCAGGACTGTATATGGCCCACTATGAATCATTCAGTTTGTTCAGATTGCCCAAGATTATGATTCACTTGAGTGTGTCTTAGGTATGGTGCTCAGTCTTACACAGGTCATGCCTCAGAAATACCTGAAACAAAATAGAAGTGCCTGCAGTGTACTGGGTGCTGGAGGCTGGGAAGGGGGTTATAGGTTTCTGACTGGAAGGGGGTTATAGGTTTCTGACACACACGTGGGCTTTGACCACACTGCAGGAGCTCAACAGACTCAGGAGCCTTTCCAGAAGCCCTTGGTTGCTGCAGGAGGCATTGCCTGGTGACTGAGGCATGGCTTGTTCCCTGAGACAGCCCTGACTCCTGTCTCAGAGTCATCCTGAGACTGGGTGTGTGGCCCTTTGAGTGTCACCCAGTGTCTGCCATGCAGAGTGGGGGTACCAGCACCAGGGTGTGACCCCAACCTGCACAGCCCACCTGGGAATCACCTGCAGTCTCAGCAGAGAGCAACCCCACAGCCATTTACTCCAGAGTTGCCTGTAATTCAAGGCTGAGCAAATCTTAATCCAAGTCAGAGATGCTGCTGAAACAGCCCTTTCCCAGGGCCCAGAGACCCTGTCCTGACCTCACCTGGGTAGTGTAATTACTGTGCTCAATGACCAGATTTTGATTAAACTTCAGCTTTCTCTCTCCACTCTCCAGCTGCAGCACTTGGCATCCAGGAAGCAGCTGGGTCTCTGGCAAATGCTGATACCTGAGCAGCTCCAGATTTGTGTGGAATGACACTTTCACCTGTGGGAAGAGGAATTCTGATGACCATCACATAAGAGGACAACTGTGTGCAGGAAATCCTAAATACACAAAGGCCCAGGCACACATTTTCCCACTGGAACCCAAAGGTGTCATGCCAGCAGCCAAACTCCCACTGGAACGAAGCAATACAATTAAAGAAAAAAACACAGCTATTTCCTATGAATCCAGTACACAGAGATGGAGTGGAAAGGTGAACAGCTGATCTCTGAACCACAGGGGAGAAACAGTCTCTAGCAAGCCAAAAGTTTTGAGTTCCTGAGGGTACAAATATCACATTCCCAAAGCTGTCTTAGACATCTAAATCCTCTTTCTTCCCCCACATGCAGAATTGAGATGTGTCTCCATGTCAAAATGAACACAGCAAAACGTGAAGCATGCTTCAAAAATGCAACAGTTACTCATTCTTTGCAGGTTACCTAATTCTCTACTCTG